CTGGTTCTGCCGCCCGTGCGCGCGCCGCGCGGTATGCCTTACCTCTTGACCCGGCAGGTGCTGGGTCCATGGTGTGGCTGGTGGGGCGGCAAGGGTTGGAGACTGCGGCAGCACCAGAAGAGCGACCAAATAAGGTCCGCGGTATGTGGACGCTGGCTGAGCCACGCTGGCAATCAACCCGATCCGCAGATTCGGAAAGCAGTACTTACTGCCTGTCATCCGCTGATTCGGCACACACGTCCGCTGCCATCCGCTAAATTAGCGGATGGGGTGCGCGGCTTCCGGTCCGTTGGAAAATATCCGTTAGCGCCCAAGCGGAATCCGCAGAGTCCGCTGACTGGCACCAGCCGTCCGCTGCCATCCGTGCCACGTCAGCAAGAGAGAGAGCGGGGTCCGCTAAATTAACGGATATTTAACGGACGGCACCCTCGTCCGTTATTAACGGATCCGGGTGGCCACCTCTACCCCGCAGGCCCCGGCGCCCTGGCGATTTGACATCGCCCCATCACCCGCCCGTCCCGAAGCCGCCGCGTCACTGGTCCTCCCGCATCCCCCCCCACCGGTGCCCGTGGCATCGCGCAAACCATGCCGACCGCTCTCCAAGCCGGTCGTTCCACTGTATGGTGCGCCTCGTCCCTCCCCACGTTCTCGCCCGGGACTTGGACGCACCGATCCCTAAGATCGCTTCCGCGACCTTGTCCGACCTGCAGCCCAGGGTCGGCATCGTGGCCGTTTGGTCCATCCGACTCAATCGGTCGGGAAAGCCGCACGCGACCGGAGCAGGAAAGCCTAGCCGACGACCTTGCATGCTCGGAACCGGGGTCCACCCCGATGCGAAGCTCCTCAGCGTGTCGGCGAGGGCCATCCGACCATCGCGGGGATCAATCGTAGTTGGGGCGTATTCTCGATCGTCAAACTGGCTCAGTGACGCCACTCTGTCAGAATCGGGCGGTGTACCGCATGCGTATCGGGCGAAGATTGGATGTCTCTGGCGATACTGCATTCCGTGGCCTTGGGCAGTTGATGTCACTGATGCGATGGGCGATGTGACCTCTCCAGATGTAGTCAATGCCAGGTTTTGCGATTTGCTCCCTTGTCGACGGAGTTCTGGGCCTCACGGGGCGCCAGCGATTCGAGGTGTATACTAAACTATCTTAATGCTTTTGCATTTTATCATAGATTGGCGACCCGAACATCATCAGAATCGATGCGGTTATGCAAACCGCATCACAACCATGTATACAGCACCGAGCACTAAAATTGCAGTGCGAGAATACCAGACAACAATGGAATCCATGGGGAAGTTGAAGAGTCAAACGCGATGGACGATGCCTCTAGCGTCACAGAGTGTGCCGTCGTGAGAGGAACAACCAGCATCTGCACAATTCATGCAACTTCCAACTTCTCTGCTAATTTGTCATAGCCGTGGGTCCTCGCAAGGGATGCAGCGGTGTGTCCCTCCTAAATTGGCACACACGTCTCAGTAGTTGGCCAAGGAGGGCAAGCACCTTAAACACTTAGGGGCAAACACACACTGGTGACACTTCACTGTTTCAAGAGGCCAAGTGCGTATGGCTGCCCCACAAGACCATTTCAACCCATTCACCACTGGAAGTTTGTAGCAGTGCGCAGACACAATGCTCGGGTAGGCACCCAAACAGGGTGTCACCTTGCGATCCAAATTCTGGAATCCTGGAACCACGTCTTCTAGGACGTTTATACTGCCTGTGATCGATGCACTGCAAAATGAGCGCGGGAAAGCCCAATCGTACATTGCTGGAGGAATCTTGTACATGCTGACAGCATTCATATCTCACATGGAGTCGAAACTCCTGCTGATTTCTGGCCCTCGTGCCGCATTTCTAGTGATCAAGCACAATTTCGGTGCCATCAGTTCAAAGTTGACGGCATCGAAATACACGTTCCAACACGTTCCCTTACTGGACTCTTTCGACAATTGTGGGAACCAGGGCGCAGCAAGGCAGGGGGTCATTCAAACTGCGTGACGTCACCTTGTCAGCAAGCTTCGCGGATGCGCCTTTGTTGAGCAGAAGCTCAGCAGCTCTCGTGTAGCCAATCGCCGCAGCCTCCATGAGCGGCGTCTTCCCTCCCTGCACGTCAAGACAGGGTCTTCTCATCTCTCAGAAACAGTCTTCATTGCAGCCATGTGGGATAGAAACCGCAAACACAGTCAGCAGTACTCTGCAGGGCGAAGGGGGCGCTCTTCTTGCCTGGTCGGCTGCATCCAAAGAAGCCCCTTTGTCTGCCAGCAACTCTACAATCTCCAAAATCGTATTCTCGTTCTGACGGTCTTCCAACAAGGGTCTGGGTCGGAATGAGGCCAGCAAGGGGGTTATTCCTTCCTGTGTACACACATACAGCTGAATGAAAAGAAAATTTGCACCATTGCTTGTCATAAAAACTCAACATGCTGCACATTAAGATGGACATGCCTGGCAGAAAGAGTACACATAAGGAAAATAAACAACAAAAGGAGAGGCCATTCCGCACTGCCAGGCCCAGAACCAAGGCACCACATATAACACATGATCTGCGCCCTTTGACATGCCACAATGTTGTATTGCTATCCTTACTTGTGCACACAGAGAGGCTTCCAGTTATTCTGGAGAGACTGTCAAATTTCAGATAATGCTCTGACCACCAGAGAACGTTGGGCCACCCAGAATTTCCACGTCTGTTCAGAGTGGGGTTGCAGAATGGGAAACACAACAGCGTCTGACACATGCAACAGAGCATCTTACTGGCTAGCAAACACTGTACAGTGCTTGCATATGTTACATATCCCAAATCTTCTTCATTAATTACAACTCTGAGGGGAGACACAAAAGACAAAATGTTGGACTGACTTTGGACAGAGGTTCAACCTGAGAAATCAATGGCCTGACAGAAATGCAGAAAATGGCCAGGTGTTAATGTGTCAGTGGCATCTGCAGCACTGTGTAGGCGCCGCAGTCACCCCGCTTTGCGGCCCAAAAGAGAGGCGTCTCGCCATCGTGGCAAGCCGACAGAAATCCAGGAAGAGGGAACCTGGCATCCAAGCTTGCAAACATCCATTCAGTGCGGGGCTGCAGACTCGAATGGTAGCACGCCAGCCCCGCAGTGCCCAACACAGGCAACAGAAACCCCCTTGTGCCGCGTACCCCAACTGACAGCTCTGAGGGGAGCCACAAATGGGCAAAAGGATGTGATGGATGGATCTCTAATCATGCACCCACAGGCGCATCGATGGCCCGTGAAGTTAAAGTACAAAGACCAGGTCGGACCTCATCGGTGGCATCCACTGTTGCACCGTGCTCCAAAAGCAGTGTTGCGGTGCTGGTGTGGCCGTTGAATGCAGCCCTGTAGAGGGGTGTCTGACCAGTCTGCGGATCATAGAAAGTATTGTCCACACAAGAGAGGGTTTGGCAGGGAAGATTTCACTGTCAGTGAGTGCGGGGCAGCAGACTTGGAATGGTAGCATGCAAGCCCCGCAGTGCCCAACACAGGCAACAGACCCCCTTGCCAAACAGGGAAGCAGTGTGCCGCGTACCCCAACTGACAGCTCTGAGGGGAGCCACAATTGGGCACAAGCATGTGATGGATGGATCTCTAATCATGCACCCACAGGCGCATCGATGGCCCGTGAAGTTCAAGTACAAAGACCAGGTCCGACCTCATCGGTGGCATCCACTGTTGCACCGTGCTCCAAAAGCAGTGTTGCGGTGCTGATGTCGCCGTTCCATGCAGCCTGGAAGAGGGGTGTGCGACCATCCTGCGGATCATAGAAAGCATTGTCCACACCAGAGAGGGTTTGGTAGGGAAGCTGTCACTGTCAGTCAGTGCGGGGCAGCAGACTTGGAATGGTAGCATGCCAGCCCCGCAGTGCCCAACAAAGGCAACAGACCCCCTTGCCAAACAGGGAAGCAGTGCGACGCACACCCCAACTGACAGCTCTGAGGGGAGCCACAATTGGGCACAAGCATGTGATGGATGGATCTCTAATCATGCACCCACAGGCGCATCGATGGCCCGTCAAGTTCAAGTACAAAGACCAGGTCCGACCTCATCGGTGGCATCCACTGTTGCACCGTGCTCCAAAAGCAGTGTTGCGGTGCTGGTGTCGCCTTTGAGTGCAGGCCAGAAGAGGGGTGTCTGACCAGTCTGCGGATCAAAGAAAGCATTGTCCACACAAGAGAGGGTTTGGCAGGGAAGCTTTCACTGTCAGTGAGTGCGGGGCAGCAGACTTGGAATGGCAGCATGCCAGCCCCGCAGTGACCAACACAGGCAACAGACCCCCTTGCCAAACAGGGAAGCAGTGCGCCGCACACCCCAACTGACAGCTCTGAGGGGAGCCACAAATGGGCACAAGGATGTGATGGATGGATTTCGAATCATGCACCCATAGGCGCATCGATGGCCCGTGAAGTTAAAGTACAAAGACCAGGTCGGACCTTGCTGGTGGCATCCACTATTGCACCGTGCTCCAAAAGCAGTGTTGCGGTGCTGGTGTGGCCGTTCCATGAAGCCTGGAAGAGGGGTGTGCGACCAACCTGCGGATCATAGAAAGCATTGTCCACACCAGAGATGGTTTGGCATGGAAGCTGTCACTGTCAGTCAGTGTGGGGCAGCAGACTTGGAATGGTAGCATGCAAGCCCCACAGTGCCCAACACAGGCAACAGACCCCCTTGCCAAACAGGGAAGCAGTGCGCCGCACACCCCAACTGACAGCTCGGAGGGGAGCCACAAATGGGCAAAAGGATGTGATGGATGGATTTCGAACCATGCACCCACAGGCGCATCGATGGCCCCTGATATTCAGGTACAAAGACCAGGTCCGACCTCATCGGTGGCATCCACTGTTGCACCGTGCTCCAAAAGCAGTGTTGCGGTGCTGGTGTGGCCCTTCCATGCAGCCCAGAAGAGGGGTGTCTGACCAGTCTGCGGATCATAGAAAGTATTGTCCACACAAGAGAGGGTTTGGTAGGGAAGCTTTCACTGTCAGTGAGTGCGGGGCAGCAGACTTGGAATGGTAGCATGCCAGCCCTGCAGTGCCCAACACAGGCAACAGACCCCCTTGCCAAACAGGGAAGCAGTGCGCCGCACACCCTAACTGACAGCTCTGAGGGGAGCCACAAATGGGCACAAGGATGTGATGGATGGATTTCGAACCATGCACCCACAGGCGCATCGATGGCCCATGAAGTTAAAGTACAAAGACCAGGTCGGACCTTGCTGGTGGCATCTACTGTTGCACCGTGCTCCAAAAGCAGTGTTGCGGTGCTGGTGTCGTTTTTGAGTGCAGCCTGGAAGAGGGGTGTGCGACCATCCTGCGGGTCATAGAAAGCATTGTCCACACCAGAGAGGGTTTGGCAGGGAAGCTGTCACTGTCAGTCAGTGCGGGGCAGCAGACTTGGAATGGTAGCATGCAAGCCCCGCAGTGCCCAACACAGGCAACAGACCCCCTTGCCAAACAGGGAAGCAGTGCGCCGCACACCCCAACTGACAGCTCTGAGGGGAGCCACAAATGGGCACAAGCATGTGATGGATGGATCTCTAATCATGCACCCACAGGTGCATCGATGGCCCGTCAAGTTCAAGTACAAAGACCAGGTCCGACCTCATCGGTGGCATCCACTGTTGCACCGTGCTCCAAAAGCAGTGTTGCGGTGCTGGTGTGGCCGTTCCATGCAGCCCAGAAGAGGGGTGTGCGACCATCCTGCGGATCATAGAAAGCATTGTCCACACCGGAGAGGGTTTGGCAGGGAAGCTGTCACTGTCAGTCAGTGCGGGGCAGCAGACTTGGAATGGTAGCATGCCAGCCCCGCAGTGCCCAACACAGGTACCAGAACCCCTTGCCAAACAGGGAAGCAGTGCGCCGCACACCCCAACTGACAGCTCTGAGGGGAGCCACAATTGGGCACAAGCATGTGATGGATGGATCTCTAATCATGCACCCACAGGCGCATCGATGGCCCGTCAAGTTAAAGTACAAAGACCAGGTCGGACCTTGCTGGTGGCATCCACTGTTGCACCGTGCTCCAAAAGCAGTGTTGCGGCGCTGGCGTGGCCGTTCCATGCAGCCTGGAAGAGGGGTGTGCGACCATTCTGCGGATCATAGAAAGCATTGTCCACACAAGAGAGGGTTTGGCAGGGAAGCTTTCACTGTCAGTGAGTGCGGGGCAGCAGACTTGGAATGGTAGCATGCCAGCCCCGCAGTGACCAACACAGGCAACAGAACCCCTTGCCAAACAGGGAAGCAGTGCGCCGCACACCCCAACTGACAGCTCTGAGGGGAGCCACAATTGGGCACAAGCATGTGATGGATGGATCTCTAATCATGCACCCACAGGCGCATCGATGGCCCGTCAAGTTAAAGTACAAAGACCAGAATGGACCTTGCTGGTGGCATCCGCTGTTGCACCGTGCTCCAAAAGCAGTGTTGCGGTGCTGGTGTGGCCGTTCCATGCAGCCTGGAAGAGGGGTGTCTGACCAGTCTGCGGATCATAGAAAGCATTGTCCACACAAGAGAGGGTTTGGCAGGGAAGCTTTCACTGTCAGTGAGTGCGGGGCAGCAGACTTGGAATGGTAGCATGCCAGCCCCGCAGTGACCAACACAGGCAACAGGCCCCCTTGCCAAACAGGGAAGCAGTGCGCCGCACACCCCAACTGACAGCTCTGAGGGGAGCCACAAATGGGCACAAACATGTGATGGATGGATCTCTAATCATGCACCCACAGGCGCATCGATGGCCCGTCAAGTTCAAGTACAAAGACCAGGTCCGACCTCATCGGTGGCATCCACTGTTGCACCGTGCTCCAAAAGCAGTGTTGCGGTGCTGGTGTGGCCGTTCCATGCAGCCCAGAAGAGGGGTGTGCGACCATCCTGCGGATCATAGAAAGCATTGTCCACACCGGAGAGGGTTTGGCAGGGAAGCTGTCACTGTCAGTCAGTGCGGGGCAGCAGACTTGGAATGGTAGCATGCCAGCCCCGCAGTGACCAACACAGGCAACAGACCCCTTGCCAAACAGGGAAGCAGTGCCCCGCACACCCCAACTGAAAGCTCTGAGGGGACCACAAATGGGCACAAGGATGTGATGGATGGATTTCGAATCACGCGTCCACAGGCGCATCGATGGCCCGTGAAGTTAAAGTACAAAGACCAGGTCGGACCTTGCTGGTGGCATCCGCTGTTGCACCGTGCTCCAAAAGCAGTGTTGCGGTGCTGGTGTGGCCGTTCCATGCAGCCCAGAAGAGGGGTGTGCGACCATCCTGCGGATCATAGAAAGCATTGTCCACACCGGAGAGGGTTTGGCAGGGAAGCTGTCACTGTCATTGAGTGCGGGGCAGCAGACTTGGAACGGTAGCATGCCATCCCCGCAGTGCCCAACACAGGTACCAGGCCCCCTTGCCAAACAGGGAAGCAGTGCGCCGCACACCCCAACTGACAGCTCGGAGGGGAGCCACAAATGGGCACAAGGATGTGATGGATGGATTTCGAACCATGCACCCACAGGCGCATCGATGGCCCGTGAAGTCAAAGTACAAAGACCAGGTCGGACCTCATCGGTGGCATCCACTGTTGCACCGTGCTCCAAAAGCAGTGTTGCGGTGCTGGTGTGGCCGTTGAATGCAGCCCGGAAGAGGGGTGTCTGACCAGTCTGCGGATCATAGAAAGCATTGTCCACACAAGAGAGGGTTTGGCAGGGAAGCTTTCACTGTCAGTGAGTGCGGGGCAGCAGACTTGGAATGGTAGCATGCCAGCCCTGCAGTGACCAACACAGGCAACAGACCACTTGCCAAACAGGGAAGCAGTGCCCCGCACACCCCAACTGACAGCTCTGAGGGGACCACAAATGGGCACAAGGATGTGATGGATGGATTTCGAATCACGCGTCCACAGGCGCATCGATGGCCCGTGAAGTTAAAGTACAAAGACCAGGTCGGACCTTGCTGGTGGCATCCGCTGTTGCACCGTGCTCCAAAAGCAGTGTTGCGGTGCTGGTGTGGCCGTTCCTTGCAGCCCAGAAGAGGGGTGTGCGACCATCCTGCGGATCATAGAAAGCATTGTCCACGCCAGAGAGGGTTTGGCAGGGAAGCTGTCACTGTCAGTCAGTGCGGGGCAGCAGACTTGGAATGGTAGCATGCCGGCCCCGCAGTGCCCAACACAGGCAACAGACCCCCTTGCCAAACAGGGAAGCATTGCGCCGCACACCCCAACTGACAGTTCTGAGGGGAGCCACAAATGGGCACAAGGATGTGATGGATGGATCTCTAATCATGCACCCACAGGCGCATCGATGGCCCGTCAAGTTAAAGTACAAAGACCAGGTCGGACCTCATCGGTGGCATCCACTGTTGCACCGTGCTCCAAAAGCAGTGTTGCGGTGCTGGTGTCGTTTTTGAGTGCAGCCTGGAAGAGGGGTGTGCGACCATCCTGCGGGTCATAGAAAGCATTGTCCACACCAGAGAGGGTTTGGCAGGGAAGCTGTCACTGTCAGTCAGTGCGGGGCAGCAGACTTGGAATGGTAGCATGCAAGCCCCGCAGTGCCCAACACAGGCAACAGACCCCCTTGCCAAACAGGGAAGCAGTGCGCCGCACACCCCAACTGACAGCTCTGAGGGGAGCCACAAATGGGCACAAGCATGTGATGGATGGATCTCTAATCATGCACCCACAGGTGCATCGATGGCCCGTCAAGTTGAGTACAAAGACCAGGTCCGACCCTCACGGTTATCCACCGTTGCACCGCTCCAAAAGCAGTGTTGGGTGCTGGTGTGGCCGTTCCATCCCCAGGGGTGTGCGACCATCCTGCGGATTGAAAGCATGTCCGAGAGGGTTTGGCAGGAAGTTGTCACTGTCGTCAGGGTGCGGGCAGCAGACTTGAGTAATACAGCCCCGAGTGCCCAACACAGGTACCAGAACCCCTGCCAAACAGGGAAGCAGTGCGCCGCACCCCCAACTGACAGCTCTGAGGGGAGCCACATTGGCACAAGCATGTGATGGATGGATCTCAATCATGCACCCACAGATCGATGGCCCGTCGAGTTAAAGTACAAAGACCAGGTCGGACCTTGCTGGTGGCATCCACTGTTGCACCGTGCTCCAAAAGCAGTGTTGCGGCGCTGGCGTGGCCGTTCCATGCAGCCTGGAAGAGGGGTGTGCGACCATTCTGCGGATCATAGAAAGCATTGTCCACACAAGAGAGGGTTTGGCAGGGAAGCTTTCACTGTCAGTGAGTGCGGGGCAGCAGACTTGGAATGGTAGCATGCCAGCCCCGCAGTGACCAACACAGGCAACAGAACCCCTTGCCAAACAGGGAAGCAGTGCGCCGCACACCCCAACTGACAGCTCGGAGGGGAGCCACAATTGGGCACAAGCATGTGATGGATGGATCTCTAATCATGCACCCACAGGCGCATCGATGGCCCGTCAAGTTAAAGTACAAAGACCAGGTCGGACCTTCCTGGTGGCATCCGCTGTTGCACCGTGCTCCAAAAGCAGTGTTGCGGTGCTGGTGTGGCCGTTGAATGCAGCCTGGAAGAGGGGTGTCTGACCAGTCTGCGGATCATAGAAAGCATTGTCCACACAAGAGAGGGCTTGGCAGGGAAGCTTTCACTGTCAGTGAGTGCGGGGCAGCAGACTTGGAATGGTAGCATGCCAGCCCTGCAGTGACCAACACAGGCAACAGACCACTTGCCAAACAGGGAAGCAGTGCCCCGCACACCCCAACTGACAGCTCTGAGGGGACCACAAATGGGCACAAGGATGTGATGGATGGATTTCGAATCACGCGTCCGCAGGCGCATCGATGGCCCGTGAAGTTAAAGTACAAAGACCAGGTCGGACCTTGCTGGTGGCATCCGCTGTTGCACCGTGCTCCAAAAGCAGTGTTGCGGTGCTGGTGTGGCCGTTCCTTGCAGCCCAGAAGAGGGGTGTGCGACCATCCTGCGGATCATAGAAAGCATTGTCCACGCCAGAGAGGGTTTGGCAGGGAAGCTGTCACTGTCAGTCAGTGCGGGGCAGCAGACTTGGAATGGTAGCATGCCGGCCCCGCAGTGCCCAACACAGGCAACAGACCCCCTTGCCGAACAGGGAAGCATTGCGCCGCACACCCCAACTGACAGTTCTGAGGGGAGCCACAAATGGGCACAAGGATGTGATGGATGGATCTCTAATCATGCACCCACAGGCGCATCGATGGCCCGTCAAGTTAAAGTACAAAGACCAGGTCGGACCTCATCGGTGGCATCCACTGTTGCACCGTGCTCCAAAAGCAGTGTTGCGGTGCTGGTGTGGCCGTTGAATGCAGCCCGGAAGAGGGGTGTCTGACCAGTCTGCGGATCATAGAAAGCATTGTCCACACAAGAGAGGGTTTGGCAGGGAAGCTTTCACTGTCACTAAGCGCTGCATGCTTGAATTGGAATGGCAATCAGCTCGGACCACACAGGCTGGCCAATACATTGAAGCTTTCTGTGAAATCGGCAAGAACAGCACTTCAGCTTGCGTATCACAAGTGAAGGTTCTGAAGGGAGCCCCAAATTATCACAAATGTTTGATGCATGGATTTCGAACTGCACATTCAGAAGGACTGTGAAACGCATTCTTGTGAAAATGTACAATGGCCAGGTGCTTTGTTGTTACCAGTTACACATGTGACTGCACATTCACCTGCATGTTTGCTGGCAAGTAAAGCAAGGAATAGGCTTGGAAGTGTCATCTGCCACTGACAAATTACCACACATATTTGTTGTTGCATCAAGTCCAACCGCCATCATGGACACCATTGTTGATTTCGAAATGCACTTGGCATCTTGGCAAAATCATGGTCATCGGGAACAGCCTTGCAGAGCTGGGGCTATGGCATTACACAGAAATACAGATGTGTTATTGTCATTAGCCCAGCTAGTGATGGTAGAGACACATCGCTGTTGTTTGCTCTATGGCCATTTCATGCAGCACCATCTGCCAGTTGCAAGCTCAATACCTGAAAGATTTTTGCCGTTATACATCGCCACGCCCAGCTGGTCAGTATAGACACAAGACGTCATGGTCCAAGGGCTGGGTTGTGAACTTTGTGCACAAGTAATCTCTGCCCGACATGTATAGCACTCTTTTCGATCTGCCAATCAATGCAAAGCCTGGTGAGGTCACTGGCATTCACAGAGAATGTCTTTTCCTTTGTCTTGGTTGTATTTTGTTGGCAGCATCCTATGCATGGCACAGGCCTAGGCATCAGGCATGCGGCATGCCACCATGCTTCTCCAGCAGACACCAACCTCCTAGGACACAGCTAGACATTGTTCTGCTTCAACATCGACTGTGGTGGCTCCCAGTGGCATGAGTCACAAGCGAGATCGTTGAGGCAGCAAGACAAGAAGTAGGAATGCCATTGCGTGTATTACATGCAATGTGGAGTATTCTGTGCCACAGATTCTGTGGCCAAACAGTAAGATATCCGCAAGACATATGCTGCCCTATTGCCACCATTTCTGCCATCATCATTGCCAGGACACCCCCGAGGCCCACCTCGTCCCCAAACTCCACATCCACTTCTCTCAAGTGAAAGGCAGCCATCTTGTCCATGCCAAGTTCAGCTGCCCAGTGGAGGGGAGTGCTCTGCAGTGCATACACAGCATTCTCAGCAACCACAAAAATCCCAATTACTGCTGATGGTCAATCTGAAGTAACGTCCCTGACAGGGACTGTTGAAAGTAAATCTGACGGTGGACAAATTGTTGGACAAGAATTTTGAAACTTACAGATACGACGTTGTCCCCGCACAACACGCCAGATCCATCTTCATCATGTTCCAATGATACTTCAAGCTCTTCAAAATGCTGTTTGCAGCCCTCGGGCACTTTGCATCCTCCTGGAAGGCCCAGTACCTCAAGGCACCCCAGTCTGTTTGCAAACTGAGGGAATGCCATGCCATCAATCCCCTGAAGTCTCAATATCCTCAACTTTAGGCAACAGGAGCCAAGGGCACTGGGAAGGTCTGCCAACTGCTTGCACTGCTGCAAATCCAGCTCCTCCAACTCAGCAAGGTTTGTTGTGCTGTCCGGCAACCCCGTCAGATTGCAACAGTTGTGCAAAATCAGCACTCGTAGCTGCAACAATTGACCAAGACTACTTGGCAGGCATGTGAGCTGCCAGCAACCACCCAAGTTCAGGCCCGTCAGAGATATCAAATCTCCAAAATTTCGGGGCAGCTGCGTCAAACCCACACAACCACTCAAGTTCAACATGGTCAACCTGTCCCATGTTTTCAAGTCAGGAAGGCAGAAACGGGCGATTCCACATTCTGGCATCAGCAGCTTGGACAATTTGGTCAGGTTTCCCACAGACTCCGGAATTTCATAGATGCCCCTGCAGCCCCTCATGGACAGCACCCTTAGCTCGACCATTGCGCCCACTTCACTAGGAAGACATGTCAGCCCACTACAATCATCCACTCTGAGCAGCTGCAGCAATCGAAGACATGAAACTTGTGATGGCAACTCAGTGATACCTGAGGACGTCAGGTCAATTGCCAGCAACTGGGTAGTCAGGATGGAAGGAGGCAACCTGGGCACTCCTGCATCTCGTAGCACAAGACCCTGTAGTTTCGGCATATACAGATCACACAAAACCCTCTGTTGGTCCGTCTTGATCTTTTGACTGGCAGAAAATCTGTTTGCCATCAATGCTGTGTCCTTGTCAATGGTGTCTCTCAACTGCGATGACACCAACCTCTCTTGTTGCAGCATTGGAAGAATGGCAATGAGCCTGAGAGCACCTTCACGGACCACATCGTGCAAGTAGTAGCGCAACCCCCACAATTCACCATATCGACCGTGGGAGGGCTGAAATTCTGGCACGCTGTAAGTATCTTTTCCTTCCCTTTTGATCAACGCCCTGTCCTCCAAGTCCCTTAGCACCTGAAGCGCAGTTTGTTCATCAGTACACGATCCGATGCGCGTCTCCAATTCTGCCACGTCCGTAGCTCGGGCACGGTGATCTTCAGGCAACATCGCCAAATCCAACAGCACTTCCCGATGGACAGCATCCACGCTGTTGAAACTCAGCACAAACACACGATCAAAAACGCTCCTCTTGACCATTGAGCTTGCTGCCAGTATTTTCACAGCATTTTGCCACTGTGCTGGCTCTTCAAAACTTCTGGCCAACTTCCCCATAATCTCCAAAGAGAGGGGAAGCCCTGCGCATTTTTTGATGATCTCTTGTACTTGCTTCTCTTGCCATTTTTTCGGCATGTCACCATCAAAGGCATGCTTGCAAAACAATTGATGCGACTGTGCCTCATCCAAAGGTGTCACATCATGGCACTTAGCTCCCAAAATATGTGCAACCTTGTCATTTCGCGAAGTTATGAGCACCCGGCTATATGGCGATGCAACATCAAGCTGGTCCATGTCAGCTTCATCCCAGGTGTCATCCAAAACAAGACAAAAAGATTTGTCTTGCAACGCAGCTTCCAACCGCCGCTTTCCGTCCTCTGCATTGACAAAATCCACTTTACCTCCTAAAAGGGCCTCCCAAATTCGCTTTTGACAGTCCACGATGTCAGGGTTCTGCGAAACTACCACAAACGCCAAGCCAAGACATTTGGTTTGTTCATTTTTCTGGAATCTGCTTCGCACATCTGGATCATTTACCACACACATTGCTAGGGTGGTCTTGCCCACTCCACCCATGCCCACCAACGCAACATATTTGGTAGTATCGCTGAGAATCAACTTTTTTATCACTGCTGCCTGGGCCTCAGGACCGATGGCTTTGGGGTTAACAGGAATGTAAGATGATGCACAACTCGGATTTCCCTCCTCTCGCATTGCCGACACGGCTGACCACAACACAGTAATGTCTCAATCAGTGTGTCAATCAAATAATTGCACAATATTGTGCAGCCAAACTAATCACTGACCACTAATCATCTGTTCCTAGCTGCAACACTCTTGATGCATCTTGCAGGCCAGGTGTAAGCTGCCACCACAGTTGCATGATGGCTAGTAGTATTGACAATCTGAGCTGAATACAATAACAAGACATGTTTGCACTATGCACTAGCATGCTTGCTGTTTGGCAACAGATTCTGCAGAGCAAGGAAAAGAAGAAAAACATGCTTTAAAGGAATTGCCACAATAATCGTTGGTGATGAGGCCAGAAACGACTCCAGCAGCGTCGCCAAGACACACATCCTTGATGGTGGGAAACAAAAGCAGTTATTGCAACATGAATGGTGTTGGTTTGGACACTTCTAATGTTGAGATGCCCTGGTTGGTTACCTTGATAGGGCATATCTCCCAGATTCTATATTTGTGCATCAAGTATTGTGCCGATATGCACCAGCACCTGTGACTAACATCAGCAACATGGTCAGCACAATTTGCCCACTTGGATCTTTAAGAGAGACTGCAAGTAACCTTGCTGCAAATTCAAGCAGCTGTTATGGCCCTCAAGAAGCATGCCACATGAGAAGTGGTCAAGGCATTCAGAACACAATCTATTGCACATTCAAAGCAAGTCAAAAGAAATCAGCAAGGCCAGATCAGAACTGCTGCAGTTTAAACACAATGGGGTTGTTTCTGTCTGTGTCAAAAAGCGCACTAACGCTGTTTTGCAAATAATGATTCGATTTTGTGTAAAGCTCTGAAATGTAACATGACCTTGTTGTTCCCCAATACCTGCTGTTGCCACTTGCTTTGGCATGTCCTGCACCAACTCATGCATGCCATGGACCTCGTGGAATGCCAGGCGTGACTCGCACTGTGAGACCAGTTCTGCAACGGCTGCTGGGCCCGGCTTTCCCTTGAATATTCCATGCACCATCATCCGCACATTTGACTGAAACTCATAGCCCTCAAGCTGTCGAGCGCCCTCTTCGATCACCTCCATCAGCTCTGAGAGCTCGTCAAGGCGGCCCTCCGGCTGCTGCTCCAAACCTCCCTGCAACGTTTCCATGGTTCGTCGAGCGACACGCCCAAGCCCAGACTGTGCAGGGCGCAGGCCATCAATGTCAGCCTTGATTCTGCCTGCCACTTCCAGGGCGAAGGCCAGCACTGAAAAAGCTGGCCCAACGACAGGCAATTTGCCCAATACCTCCCCTGCGATCTCTGTTGCAGTGTCCATCATGCGCACTGCAGACTGGGCCACTTGCAAATGGCCCATGCGCAGAGGCCCGCTCGCCTGGTCGTGTTCCTGCAAGGCGCCAAGCTGATTCTGCCATTCGGGGCCCTGGCCCCTCAGCAGTTGAATCCATGGGCACACACGCCACCGAAGAGCGGCCACCCACTGAGCCGCATGCTCAGGCGAGTCTGCCCTGAAGACCCGCTTTTCCCCATCCAACTGTACCGTCCAAGTGCGCTCCCCTTCCGCGTAGATGACCTCCGTCCGGCCTCTCACCAGCTCGATGCGGCCCCCCTTTCCAACCCAGGCCTTGGTGTCCCGGGGGAAGTCGGCTCCGCCCCTGGCGCGGATCCATCTCAAATCCATTCGAGCCAGCAGGTCGACATTGTACCACATGCCAATCCGCGACCTCTTTTCCACGCGACCCGCGTCGGGCGACATCCATTTTTGCCGTAAGTCATCCGTCAGTCGCCCCTCAGCTTCGCCGCGTTCCCCACCGCCGGGCGGGGTCTCGGCCATGGCCAGCCGCTGTGGCGACGACTCACAGAATTTGCGGCTTCACAGAAGGAGGGCGTCGCGCAAGACGGCGGTCAAAACCTGCCATCGCCAACCACCATGTTTCGATCAGATCCAAGTGTCCTTCTTGAAACTCAGTGGCCAAAGCCGGGCTTGCGCAGCTGTGCAGTTACTCCGTGAGAGCAGCGCGACAATAGCGAAGAAACCGCGTTTGCACATCGCTCGAGAGCACAAGCATGGAAGCGGTGAAAGAAGTCTGCAACTGGTGGTCAACAGTTCTGGACCCCAAGGACAAAAATAGGCATAGGTCCGACGCTGGCTAAGCGACAGCGGCTTGGAGCAAGCCAGGAGGGCACCCATTTTCCAACGACGGCGCCATCGCCGCGCGGCCCGGACCATAACGAAAGAGCCGCCAATTCACGGATGCGCCCTACAACCACTGTGGGACTCTGACCTACCAACCCCGGCAAGGGAGCCTCTGCGTCAGCAGCATCCGGAATACTCCACCAGGTCAGCCCAGACATCCCACACAGCGGACACCCCACCCCACCCATTGCCTCTCGAGCCATGCGACCGACAGTCACACCCCTCGCCGCTTTTGCACGCCCACAACCGCCAATCTCGACGTGTAAACCACCAATCCAAGACCGTTGACCCCCGGGGCGGCGCCCCTCCGCTTACCCTCCTTCCACCAGTCGGATCCGCTGAACAAAAGGCGCAAAGGGCGCAGCGCCCGTCTGGCAGACGTGTCGCAAGTTTCTGAATCCCGTTGCGTTTGCCGCGCCCGGGCCCTGCTGCCCTTGCGCCACGCCCACCCGGGGCCGCGGGCCCTCGTGTGGGAAGGCAGTGTCGCTTCGAGACGAAGCGCATGACGCATGCCGGCGGCCTGCCTTCTTTTGGCGCTGACACCTGGCCGAAATTAAGACAAGGCAGTGCTGGAGTGCAAAGAATCCGGTTGATGGCCCGTAGTAAAGCGACGCAGAGGTATCCTTCACCGATGTCTCAGTTCCTTGTGGAGCAGATCGTACGTGACCTTCCAATGGCTGGGCAACGCAAGTCCTTCTGGAGAGGTCCAAGGCGGCTTCAAGTCCCTTAAGTACAGCAGTACTTCCCGAAAGATCACGAGACTCACAACCGCAAAAGGTCGTTCTTTTTGGCGTTGGTGATGGCAGGATGGGGCCACTGACCGGTCACGGCACCAAACACCCCTTGGGGGTGCAAGCCCCAGCCGGGTACCGTGGTACGACGACATGGGGCGTGTCCCGCCCTCGCCAGCGAACTGATCAACACCTTAGGACGGACAACTGAAATGAGCCCTCGGTCCAGCATGAACGCAACCTTGCGGGCTCTGCAGCCGTTCCTGGGTTTTCGCGTGGCAGCGTCAGGGGCACTGTGAGAGGGCATCTTGAATGGCTAGCTGTGGCGAGGTGGGTGCCGTCTACAAGTTGTTTTTGTTTTCCGCATAAGTTGCGCAGTCAGATTGCGGCTGCCGCGGCGCAGTGGGTGAAGCACGTGTCTGCAGATGGGGTGGACGTGGCAAGGGTTGCTCCACTGTGCTGATCCCAAATCCTGTGCAGTGAGACTCGGTGTCTCTGGCACTCCGACGTGTGCTTTGAAGCGGGTGCAGAGCCGTGTAAGAGGTTGGCGATGCCAGGCGTCCTACAATGGCGCTTGCAGCGCTTCTCGTGCCACACCTTTTCTCACAGGATGGCCAGTTTGGCAGACAAGATGCCTGGAATGTGTTTCGCATCGCAGACGCAGTAGGTCCAGTAATCTTGGCCGTTGTCACCCACAGAGCTCAAGTTTTTTTTGGGTCATGCCTGTTCTCAAACATGCACTCCCCAAACACTGGAACAAGCAGTGGGCATACTGTTCTTGTACTGTTGGTTGGCGATATGGCCCTCGGTAGCTGACATGCAATGAATGGAATATCATCATCATCATCAAGCTTGCACTTCCACGGAATCCTTCACCTGTGTTTTTGAGCCGTATGCCCTCACCTCTGTTACGATGCAATATTTTTGTGTTGGACATTGCCAGAAGACCAAGTTGTGAGCATGTTCGTGTGACTAGGACTCTGAAAGTGCCATCTGCAACCAGTAGGCCTTGCCAAGTCTGGATACCGAAAGCTGGAGGAAGTGCTTGGGTGAAGCCACCATCGTCAGCAGAGAGCAGGAGGGCTGTATTGCTTTGAATTGCAATAGGCAGTGGGGGAGAGGCGGCTGCTTGCCGAGCTCTGCACCCGCTTTACATTCAGGGACTTTAGCACGATCGAGGATGCATGTCTGAGAGATAAGATCTGCATAAGCTTGGCTGAGATGATCTGGGAGTGCTTGGTACAGTGCGTGTAGATGATCCACACCAGCATCCTGTGTGATTGAGGTTGAGCGACATTCTTGGGAGCCACTCAGGCATGTTGTGGAATGAGATAGGCGTGGTCTTTAGACGATCTGGTGCAGCTTTGCTATGTGATCAAGACACACCATGCACACATGCACGCAGAACACTGGTGAGGATGTGAGGAATTGGGGAAGAACATGGGCAAGGGTGGCCAAGGCACAGCCTACAGAGCGGAAGTGGAGTGAGCGTGGCTGTGAAGAAGACTTCTGGCAGAGGGGACAGCATGTTGGCTGTTGAAGGGTCTGCTGACATTGTGCAGGAGGCTATATTGTGTGCCAACGTCAGCCATCCCCTGACGACGTTGAGCTCTTTGGAACGTCTGATTTGGGCTGGATAAGTTTGGGATTGGCGGACTTTGGCATAATGTTGGTAATGGGAATGAGAGTTAGGCTGCTGCAGGGGTGCAGAAAACTGGGTGTATTTATGTCTCCATGCACCCGGTGATGGCAGTGGACGCTGCTGTGACCGGATGCATGGAAATGTCAAACCACATAGTTTTCTGAATTGCTGCACTCGCCAAGGCACGTACGGTTTATTACTGGCGATTTCTGACTTGCTTTGATGTTGCAGAACCCAGATGCGAAGCAGCACAGCCAGGCGGTGTTTTTAGGGTGGCTCTGGTGTTCATTGCTGAGTTCACCAACGGCTAATCCAGCTCCCTGTGGTCGGTGGCTGTTGTTGTTGGGTATTCTGGTGCAAGCGCTTCAGCCAAAAGATGGATAGTTGGGCTATGAACAATGAACCTGCCGTCATGGTCAATAGAATGATCTGATGGGCCATGCCCTATTTTGCTGAGTGATGGTGCTAAGCAAGCCCTGGAGCTTTTGAGGAGGAGGTGCAGCTGGTGATGGGCTCGGCTTGCTACCTTACCCAAAACGTTTACATGTTCGCATCTGAAACAACAAGATGCAAGCCACCAATGATCTACTTGAACTACGGCTCCAGTGTGCACCAGCTTGCAGCTGGCATCCACACAGGAACTGCAGGAATCAGCATAGCATCTTCACAGCCAGTGCGATGGCTGCAACGCTCGCTCGAGTTGCCTCAGCGATTTTAGTGTCGTGCACCGGACCTGGGCCACAACGTCCCTCTATTTTGGAGAACATCAGCATTGTGGTGCAAGATCAGGCTTCCATCTGATCCCCTCTCCATGCACGGACTGTGATGTGTCATCGACATGAGCATGGGCGGGAAGGAGGGGATGGCTGAGTTGGGAGTTCGACGTCAGGCGTGACGAAATGGCTCTGGCGTCATCCCTTGGCAATTCAAGGCGTTTACAAATAATCCAGGTACATACAACGGCATTCGGCTTCAACTGGGGCCATAATGCGCTGGACAGCGCAATGTTATTGGGGGCCTTTTTCATGCTGTGGTGACAATACACACGGCAACAGGCCTCAAATGTTATCGCACAACCTTGTTGAGGCTGGCGTGCCAAGACGATAACGCCCATGGTGCCCGTTTTCCATCCAAACACCGAAGTGGTTTCTACAGCCAAGCTACAACCCTGCCATTCCACCATTTCAGCAAACTCAACATCTGCTATTTCCTGCATAGAGTCATCCCCCCTTCCCATGAAGACAGAAAAGTACCTATGACTAGTCAACACGCAGACAATTCGTAGTTTTCTTCGTTCCTTGCTATTCTCCTTCCTGCCCCCTTCACTCCACCACCAACCAACAAGGCAATCTTGACGCCAACCCTTCTGATCTTTACAATTTCCCATTCGCGCCATTTCTTTCCATGCCTTACAAGCGGCGAGCCGCAAGGCACTTCCAAACTCGATCATCACATTTTGCTCGCCGCCCACAATCACCAATTACGCAACTGGTCGTCGTGGCACCTGCACAACCCGCCATGCCCACGACTGCATGCCTGTGGCAGGATGCGGTCCATCAACCCCTCAGGCGCCAAGCGCATCAAATTCAACACCACAGTGTCACCTTTGTCACCGTGTCGCTACAGCCATGCCTGTGGGTTTAACATTATGGCCTACACTTTGTCAGTGAAGGCGCCTAGGCGCCAATTTCCGTGCGCCCAACTGAAGCGCATGTTGTGTGTTTGAGACGCATTCAATCAAGATGCCACAACCCAGTCGCGTCCGTCATCCTCGCTCCAGATTGGGGCGGCAAGACTGGCCACCACGAGGCAGCGAAGGCGTCCTGGCCCCACAGACCCCATTCCCTTGATGGCACACAACATGACCACTGTCGCACCAAATCCATGTCTTCCTGGGCTTTCCGTTGCGCATCAGGGTCCCATGATCACCTCCCCTGCGTGAAGGTATTTCATATACAGCAGCCCAGTCGCAGTGCCGCCAATGTGCGCCCAAAAGTCCACCGCGCCACCCATGCACGCGGCCAGCATGTCGATGGCCAGGCGCACAGTGAGCATGCCCAGCGGCGTCGAGTGCAGGCCAAAGGGCGCGAGGTAGACGGTCCAGCCGCGATCCAGCACAGCGTTGCAGGCAAGAAGCGCGTAGACAGCGCCGCTGGCACCTGATGAACAGGATACAGGAAGTCAGGAAAAACATACGCACCTGTCAAAATGCCTGGTGCAATTTCGCCGCGTAATTGCATCCAGTGCATTAGTTTCTATAATGTGCTAATTCAACACTGCATTAATTTAGCGCCTACATCAGTTTTACCAACTCAGCTCGGCTTAAACACGTGCAAATGTCGTGTGACGCAGACTTGTTTCTTTGCCAATGGAAACACCAATCAGCTGAGACCATTGTAAAAGGTGAAACCCTAAACGGTGAGGAGGCGAACAGGCACTGGTAACCTATCAGCGCCAATTGTATCTCATGGGCATTGGTGGACTGTACATGAGATGTTGGGCTGTCAACTGCCCCACACCGTCACCGGGGTGCTACAGTGCTACAGTGCTCATCGGTGGAAGTGTAAGGCCAAGAAAGCGTCCAAGAAGGTGCACAGGCATCTGCTTTCCAACCCTGAGAAATATATCGAAGCACAATTGCGCAACGAGTCTGCACCTTTTGATGTCCAAGCAGCTCGGTTCATGTACGAATTTCCTGCCAGTGATGCCGCCTGGGCACCCATACCCCCCAGCGTGTACACCAGAAAGACCGCTTTGGAGCCGATAAGAGTTCTCAGGTGTGGGCCAATGATGCTGAGCACTGCCAACCAAAGAAACAAACGTCATCAGGAAAGATCAATAATGGAGATAAGGATGTAAGCGCCATGCGTAGAATGAACATGGGCAGTCAATTTTCTTTTATGAATTCAGGATTTGGACATCTAATTGCACCCCAAAGGGCAGAAATGGGTGTGCATGACTGACGATCCAGGTTGACAATGTGTCAGAAGTTGGCAAGACACTGCTGAGCTATGTTCCATAATTTCGTGCGTCAGCAAACCATAAGCGAAATCTATGATTTCTTGACCACATCAATCCCTGGCTAGTTCAAGAGCATGCACAATCTTGCCAAGATTCCACAGCGATCGTGTCCAATATTCAGCACTGCATTCCCAAAGGGTGCACTAGAAATAAGGGCAACACACAGTTCCAACCATGTGTCATCGCAACTCAGCAGACAGTCCACACAGATAACAGATGACAACACACTGCCACATTTCATGAAAGATAACAGCAACTTCCTTACTGCAGTTTTCTGGGCTGGAACAAACTGCCACTGGCTTCATGAAAAATTCTGCGAGTACTAGACCCAAGCCGGCCCAAATACAGTAACAGCTGTAGCAGAATGAGCCAGCACAGGCACATAAGCCAAGATACTCCCATTTTCTTCTCAGTATTGAAACTCTTCCCTTCTTCTCTTATGTGGCATGCCAGCAGTTGTCAGGGTTGTTTCGTGGCGGACAGAAAACAACAGCATGTTTGGAACAGACAGCTGTGGACGTGTGCAGCTCCCGACACTGCCGGCAAGGCAAATCCCCAGCGACTTGACACGCTCTGATCTGATCTTTCTATGCTGATGGCAAACCGTACGGCTGACTGGCATCCAGTACGCACTCTGCAGATTGGCGAGCAGGTGGATGGGACTGTCGTGGGAGAAGTTGGCAGCAAAGACCGCCCATGGCCTGTGCTGCAAGTTCATCTTGGACACCTCAAAATTGTTTGCCATGACCCGGGCCGGAAGCAGCAGCCAGAGGACAAAAACCTGGGGACAGGAACAGCTCCTGTTAGTGAGCTGGTCGATTCTCACAGCAAGAAAAATTTGTCGTGCAATGGGTATCCCATACGAAGCAGCAATCTCTGTGAGACCAGTTGTGGGCAGCAGGCAATGCTGCAGCAGCTTATGAGTGCAGAAGGAAGAGCACGCCCACAGATAGAAACCAAATAACGAGGCCAGGACTACCAACGTCATCATCATCATCATCAAAATCCATGGATTACACTTGTCACAAAACGACAAAACACACCCCATGCACCTGGTAGGCGATGATGGGCGATAAAGGACTACCAGTGTGCTTCCAAGCAAAGTTTGCTGTGTAAGCAATCCTGCAAATTCTTGAAGGAACATATTGTTGGTGACACGCTGACAACCCTCCCACCAGCAGGTTGAGGGCGATTAGCCCCTCCACCACAGTCAGCCTCCACTGCTTTATGCTCTCTGATGCCCAGTCCAGGGCAGGGTGGGAGGGCATTGGGATCCACAGGCCGAATGCTCCAAGGTACCATCTGCCCATGTACTTCAGGAAGGAGCACACCAAGAGGTTGTGGAGATGGAAAGCAACACCTGCAAGACAGCATGGATAATTGGAGGATAAGTGCGGCCATGGAAGGAACGAAGAATCGCCAAACTTGTTGTGACAAACAGCGGCAATGTGGGGTTGCCAATTCTCTTCAAGTCACATTTTTTCATCAACCCCTGTTCCAGAATACGTGCTTTGAGTTTTTGTGTGTGGTGGATGGGTGGGACCTGGTCTCCTTTTCTGCCCCGTTAGCCAATCAGAGGGGCGCTTGGGGTTCTTGTAATGTTGCCTGTTGTATTCACTGGGGTAAAACTGGGCAGCGTTTGGCCATACGATTGAATGGAACACGAACAACCACTGCTTCGTTGTTGCTGTGCCAATCATCGCCTCCACAGGTAGAAGCTGTCTGTTTTCGACAACCAACTGACGACATTGTCGACATTAACGACATTGATTTCACAGTGGTCATGTCAAGTTCCTACGAAAATGTGGCACGATACAATGCCCATTTCCAACCGTCCGCAACCACGGTCGATTTTGCAGAAAGAATGATAATACTGCATTGTCCCGATACGAGTAACGCATGACAAGAATGACGACGAGCAGATGATGTGTGACACACGCTATGGACATTCTGCAGTGTCGACGTGTTCCAAAGCCACAACAGTATCTTCTGACAAACCATGCACAGCCTTTGACACCATCACTCTGAAACCAAGGCTGCCAAAATTTGTGTTTGTCCCATTGTCATGCTTATTCTCTTTGGTAAGGTTCCTTGCACCAAAACAGACAAAACTGGAACTCACCAAGCTTTGACTGGAATCCGGACACAACATGTGCAGCAAGGCCAGCCCAATAACCCTGAAAGGCAAGAAGGAATCGAACATCAGGGACTGAGCACTGTCGTCAAACTCCCCAGGAGGACGCATAAGTACAGTCTGGAATGTATGGTATGGGTGTCAATAAGGACCATGTTCCGGCTCTCAACATTGACTTGTGCACCACAAGCAATCACATTTCGCAACTGCAGATGCATCATAGATCATTCAAGTGGCTGGTGTGATTGGCTGATCTTGTTTGCAATAAAATCAGGTGATGCAGAAGTGCAATGAAACAAACTCAAGATTTGCAGCTGCATTTGTTTCTGCCTAGTCAGCAATGACTTTGTTCCAGTTCTCAGAAACTAGCTGCCACAACTGCCACAAGGATGCCCAGTCTTTTCGATACCAGTCCACACATTGCTAGAAATGCCTAAAAATGTGTGAATTGGCGTCACGGGTGTTTGGAGCTCTCGTCAAATTTGTGGCAACCCCATCCACAAACTACACTGTGCCTTGAGCACACTGTGCAAATGCACCTAAGAAGGAAGTTCTTCCAATTTGGCCTCTACAGACTGTGCCCAGCAAGGACATAACAATTGATACAGGAAAATGTTGTGGCACATTCTCATCATGTCGCCTTGTGGGGACCTGGTCATATGTCATGGCTGCCGAAAGTTGCAAACATAAGATTTGCAACCCAGGCACGATCACAAGGATACATACGCAGATGCAAACTTTTGGCTTTGTTCTTGTGGCGATCCCCAAGGAATTTGTCTTTGAAGGACAGCGCAACCGCATCGGATGCGTGGCTTATATCACATTTTCCAAACTGCAAAAGCATACAGATATTTGACAATTTTCCACAGGAAACAGCTGTGGGGCACTTCGACAGCATGAAGGGCAGTGAAATGACAGTGGCACTGACACCTGGCAGCTGTGAGATCTTAGAATTTTGTTTCTGTCGGCAACCTGATCCTTGCATCCACCATAACAAGCACTGTGATATAGCCTTGACCCCTATGCAACTCCTGATCTACCTCTCACTGCTGATGGTGTGGGGAACCATAGTGCGAGGATTTCGAACAGACACTGACTGAGAATCTCGTCCCTCTCAACGCCAGCACGGTGCAAGGGCCTTTTTTCCCACGGTAGTTTACAACCATCCAAGGATTCCAAAGAGTCGTTGTGCCTCCAACTGTGGTTTGCTGTGTCCCGCCCGCAGCATCTCCGGCGGGCCATGCGGCCCCTCAACCGACCCTATCACCTCCCCCGCCGTCCACGAGGGACGATGCCCATGATCCAAGCCCTTTCCCGCAAGCCCCACGCCGATCTCGGTGTCCCGGACCGCCCGACCCCTCTCACGCTTTCGCACAGTGCTTCCCCCCTGCCTCTCATCAGATCATGCTCGAAAGGACTCCCACCACATTCTCACTGAGGAGGATCCTCCCAACCGCATCGACATGCTCCCTTCTCTTTCGCTGAAAAAATAGCGTTTAGGGCTCTTTCGCGGCTAAAAAAGCGCTCTTGTGGCCTCATCATCACAAGAACGAATTGCTTCCGACCACGTTCTCAATCAGGAGGGTCCTCCCAACCGCATCGACCTGCTCCCTTCCCTTTTGCCGAAATCACAGCGTTTAAGGCCCTTACGCTGAAAAAAAACACGTTTATGGGCAACTGCTGGGAGACGCTGGGCGATTGATCCCGGGAAGCGCGCACGCACTCCTTTCTTTCCGACGTGCGATGTCACCAACGCGACGAACGACGCCTCGTCGGGGTTGAAGTAGATGGCGAGAGCCAGCAGCAGGGTCAGCAGGGCGCACAGGAAGTAGGAGGTCGCAGCAGCCATTGGGTCCCGCGCAAGGTGCCGAAGATGTGGTGTTTTGGCGGGGGCCTGGCGCTGTTGCGCTCTGCGCAGGGGTGCGCGGGGTCAGTCATCCTTTGATGACTGAGCAGCGTGACACTAAGCCAGGCAGGGTCGGGGGGGTGGCGACCCGTGACTGGGGACCGCAGGATCGAGTACAGGGAAGCCGTTCACCGCGGAGCAAAAGGACAACAGGGACTCCGTCTCTTGTATGCGGTCCGTTCATCAGTGTCCTCAATGCAATTGCTATTGTCTGATCACCTCTTAATGCGTCCAACCATTAGTAATACTCTATCAATTCTAGTTGCAACAACACGACACATGCATGCGCCCATTGATGGCAGATGACTGGGTGAGACGGGCGGGGCGCTAAGGCACTGTTTCCAGACGGCAGAGTGGGCGGACACGATTGGAAAACTCGCCACAGACAACAAGCTGGTCTACCTGCATGCAAACTGTTCACACGGCCAGACGTTCAAATACAAAGATCCAAGTCCCTTTTCCGAGGCCGGGGGATCTGCGGATCCCCTAAAGCTCGAAAAGGGACGATTCCAACCAATTGGTCAAATGCCAGAATCTGCGCACCCGACTCATTGCATTCGATCGTATTGTGCCCACCGGCCTGAGACAAAATAGAGCCTCAGCTGCACCGAATTAAGTGCGCACCCAACGCTGGGGCATCTGCAAGTCACTGCGAGTCAGCAGAGCGTTTGCTCGGAGTGGAGGGAAGCTTGCTGGCACCACAAGGCCCCAGGCAACGGCACGCAAGGGCCTGCTCCGTTGGGACAGTACCAATGTTATATTCAGCCCTTCCACATAGTAGCGCAGCGCTTAGCCTCTTTTTGCCCAAAAAACAATAAAATACATTGCGCTCTCTCAATGGAATATTTTTGCGGAGCAACATAAAACAAAAAATAACGCTGTGAAAAAAGAGTTGCGTTGCAAACAGCATAACGGTAAAATTGTTTGATGCGGAAGGGCTGAACGTACTAGTGCATTTGGTCGACATTCTACTATCCCAAGGGTCCCTGGGCGAGGCTCACACCTCGTGATAAAAGCAGGCGGATGCGAAAGACGGGCATGTTGTGCTTTCAGCTTATTGAACACAGCATTGCGGTGACGTGCCGATTACTACACTACTGTTGGTAAAACTCACAGTATACTGTGCTGATGGCGCGTTTTATCGCAAGGTATTCCTCGTAGTGCGTTTTATGGGGTCAGCAAGCGGACTTGCTCGTGTTGGAATGACCATCGAAGGACGAAATTTCACATCTGAGCGTCGATTTCGAGGCACAACCATCTTCAGCCAAATGTGGCGCCAGCACGCCGCCCTGCACAGCGGCAACGGCTACAATTGTCCAGCGCTTATTGCGCATGCAGCGTTTGGATATTCGCCAAATTACGCTGCTTGATTCACCGACTTTTTTATCCCCGAGATAGTGTCTTGCACGTTGGACGCTGGTGCACAAAGGACAATGATTTATCATTTTGGAACCATTATTGGGTAATTGTTGGACTACATCCGGTCGCTGTTGCCCAAACATGGGGACCGACATGATGGATTGCAACAAGGCATCAAACCAGGGGATGGTTCACCGCCGCCAACAAGTAATCCCTCCGCAATGCTGTAGTATGGACAAAGTATCAAATAACGTAAACGGCTGGGATTGACTCCAGTGCCCAGCAAGCAAACTTTGACTACTGTGGGTGATCGGGCGCCTGGACCTCGAACAATATTGCTGGAAAATGTGGCACAAAGCTCACTATTTTATAGTACTTTGCTGGCCATTTCATTCCTGAAACGTCGTCTTGGTGGCTCCTCGCCAAAGTGGCCTGTTGCACCTCCCACGTGACCAGCTGCTGCCTGGGCTCTGCTGGGTTATGATCCACCGTGGGACCACCATTACCTCTGGCCCATGCTGCCAAGCTTGAGGCTGTGTCATGCGCCTGAAGTTGTTGAACGGGCCGAGTCTCAACTGTTCGATGCGGTGCTCTTACAGCCATGATTGTCTGATGCCTATCATTGTTGGATACGAGGGTCATCAGGGGTTCATGGTCATGAAGGGTACAAGGGGCCCACGCCCCTGAAATCTAAGCACCCCAAACCCGAAAGTGACCTTTGCGACCTCAATGACCTTTCTGCCTTCATGACCTTAATCGCCTTCATGGCTTCTTGTCTGGAAATAAAGGGCATAGGATATTTGTGGGTGTAGCGAGCGACAGCCTGACAGATATAAGTCGCCAAGGCTGATTTCGCCACAAGCAAAGGTGTCTCGACCAGCCCATCAAGAAGATATCTGCGACCTCTGCCGCAAAAGTGCAGCCTCGACACAGAGGTTGTACCTCACCTGCCTTCCTGGCGGTAACCCTAGTAAGAACAGACTTCCCAAGTCCCCCACACACATGAACCTGGGTGCAATGAACTGGAAACTGTGGTCATGTAAAATTATGTATTATCATAATATGCATTATAATATTATAATAATATTGTCATAAAATTTATTATATTATTATATTACTAGTACTCGCACTCGTCAGCAGCATTAAATTAGGCCTCGCGACCAATACATCTCCACTTCCCACAAACCAAGCATGCGTATGAGATTCTGCAACGGCACAATTTCCTCAATCCCTACATCTGCTCAAATCCTTTGACTGCATTTGTCACATAAACATGACAAAACACTGCCCTTGCACCTCAGAGGCGATGGTGCCCTGCATCTGCACGCACTGCATTCTTTCACTGGCATGAGCCCCACCACAGCAGCGCAACACTGGAAAACAAAATCTGCGACAAGTCCAAATCCTCACGCCATTCTGTGTAATCAATTGATGTGGCCATGAATCCGATCAACAACAAGAATTGCCCCATCACAGCTATCCAATCAACTACCCGCCCTGCCCCTCACTGTACACTCTATGAGCAGAACATCCCCCGCCCCTCTTTCCCTGGCCCTTTCTGAATCGGTAACCTGCTGATCTAAAACAAATTTCTCTCCTTCTTCAACCATAGTTGCCTCCACTGAGGGTATTCCTTGTACTCCGAAAAGCTGCATCGGAATATCTTTGCAAATTCCTCATCTGTAAGATATTCCTCACGTCGCGTTGGGTCCACGTTCCTGGGCCACCTCACCCCTGCACGGAGAACCTTGTAGCTGTGCGCTACCTCACCTGCAGCAAGCAGCACAGCAAACACTATGAAATCATGGTCCAGCTCTGAATCATCATCAGTGCCACACATTCCCTTGTGCTCTTGTCAGTTCCTATGCTCCCCATCACGCCTGTGACAATGGCCTGCTAAAAAGCCAAGAGGGTTCAACAAGGGGAAAGTACCAGGCGGGTACGTCGGGTACGATCTGACACAGATTTGATGGAATAACTCTGCAAACTGCTGTCCAGCTTTCAGGGTGCAACACGATGCATCTACCAACAATCGCAGGCCTTGCTTCATATGCACACTAAACATTGCCCAGAGGGCGAAAGGCCAGTGACTTGTGATGTTTGCACCACCAAGGATCCTGCTCACCTGCCACAGAGGGTCCCAGCTTCTCCATGGGCATGTCCATGTCCATCCACTCCCACCCCAAGTGCTCATCCTCGATCTTAATCCTTCTGATGGCCTCTGCTCGCTCCTTCGCAGCCTCCTCCAATCTCATCGTCACGTCCTCAGGAAGGATGCGTCTAAGTGCCTCATCACCCATGATCTGCCGCACGCTATCAAAGGTGTTTGCAACAAACCTCATGCACTTGTTCTTCAGCTCAGGACCTCCCATCTGCAGGTACAGCTAAAAGTCAATGTCCTTGCACATTCATGGCATTCTGACTCACACTCAAGTATCTATGCCCTAAGCTTTTTGCAATAGCGCCTGCACTGGCTGTGAATTTGAAATCTTGGCAGTACATGTACTTGGAAGATTGCCTGGGAATACACTTAGTTACTCCTGCGAAAACTCACACTGTGCAATGTAAACCCAAGCAAAATTCAATTGACTCAAAAGCAACCAATCACACAGGTGCGTGTTGTTGACCTGCATGCACACGGGATGCTGTCCATGTCGATTAAGGAGTACATCCAAATATCACCACAGAGGCCCTTTATGCCACGATCTGTTTGCATATGAATGGCACAAGGCCATTCTTGCTACTCCTGCATATCACAAGATTTCAAACCTGAACCTTGCAATGAGAACTCGATTACATTATTCAGGGTTTGAAGCTCTCATAACCATAGCAGTTGGTGCATGCACGCCAGTTTCTATTTTCATGATGAGACTCAACTAGTCCGCAGTTTGGCGCACTCCCCATGTATGCCACATATTTGCCCACTCGAAGCTGGACAAATGTGGAACTGAAACTATCCACAACGAACAGACACGCACTTAACGCGCCTGTTCGTAAGGGCACTCTGCCTGTGTGTCCCTGCCTCAGTCCACAATGGAAGCCAGCAGTGTGCTGCCTGACCAATTTTCGGTCAGTGTCCCTGGTGTCCTAGAAATCGGCAATTTACATGGCTATTTTACACTTTCACCCGGCCTTGGCCAGGTAATTTAGCAACAGAGAGCTTCTCTTGAGAGCTTCTATCTTCCGTTGCAAGATCAATACAATGCACACAGGCTGAATGGCAATTCCTCCTCATTCATGCCGCCCGTAATGTGGCATCATTTGTCTGCTAGAGTATGCATTTCTACCCTTCTGTTGGCATTTAATAACTCGTGCTGGGTTCTGCAAAGCAACAAGGTTTGGCAGTAACAAAACATCTGTGGAATGCGTTCAACAAGTTCTGTTATGATGCCTCATAAGCACGCACTGCAATGTGATAAAGCACAGCGGACGTCGGGCTATCGAGGTATCCCTTAGAGTGATAGGTTGAAACTAACAAAGTACCAAGAAGAGTCAAGTGCATCTGACAATATTGGCATGCAAACAGACAACAGCATGTCTGGTGAGCAACATATTGTGCAGCAAATCATGGAAGTTTGCATGTGGCAATGGATTCCATATTGCCTTCACTATGAAATCAATGTGCTGCCCCTGGACAGTTGTGCAGAGGCAGTAAATCCCATTTTCCAGAAAAACTAGGCAAGCTGATAGGAAGCCCAAAGAAGCTATTCTCCAGCGCACGTGAAGCTCATGCAATGCGCCAGGAGTGTTTAAATGACTGACATGCGAACGAAAATCTCCATGTCTCCGCCACAAGGGACCCAGATCAGCGGATCTTCAGCAATGAGTTTAATGCCGCAAACTGCCTCCAGCCATGGAAGATTTCCATTTCAGGTGGCTCTTTCTTCCGCTATGCATTTAAACTACAGGCCATCATTAGGACATCATGAGGACTTCTTCATACACTAGCATAAAACCAACAAGAACAACAACTTTTACTTACAATACCATTCTTATCAGCAACTATCAATAACCTGTGCCATGACTGTACATTGTGGAGAACATACCAGATGATCCACTGGAGAGGGGGCTGTGTCCTTGCTGGCGTCAGCCTCTGAACCTTCCAGACCTTTGCCAGAGCTGGACCTCTCCGCAAGGAGCACCTCACAGCGGCTTGCTTCTCTTGTCAATTCGGTATTGAGCTTCTCACGAAGAGCCTCAAGCTCCCGTACACGAGCATTCCGTGACCTCAGTGCCCTCTCTAGCTCAACCTGCCTCTTTGACAGCATCTCCCCTTCTTCCATTACCTGCAGGTATGCGATTGACACATTGTCTACATGATACGCAATCGACACAATCTTTCCATCGTCCCAGAGAAAACTGTGGCTTTTCTGCATTCTCTGTGTGGTCTTTGATGTTCAAGCTTGCTCTGGCCCTGAACGGACAAGTGCACTTGGACATGGCCGCTGCAGAGGTCCACTATGCATGAGTTTGGGACCCAACAATGCCCTGAGTTGGCTCACCATTAAGCAAAGGCGAAGTTGAGCAACTACCAGTGCAAGATTCGAATTCCGTGTGCCACCAAACAACAGCACTGTGGTAGCATTTCATGCTGCTGGAACTGCTCACTCATGGGACACAGGTGCATAAATCACTGCTTCACATAACAGGTGAAAACAGTGACTCAGTTAATGGGGAATTGAAAAACACAACATATACAGAAGGTGGTGAAGTCAACAAAAACCATGCACTTCAGCGTAGGCCAGCCATTGTGACATTGTTCTGGCAATGAGGTACAACACTCAGTGACTTGACCACTGCCTGTTAAGAGAACAGATCATGTAACAACTGAGCTAAAACCAGGGTAGAATCTGTCTGTGAAACCTGGCCAATTGACTCGCGAGCACACGCCCCGGTGCCGTGTGGCGGTGATAACAGGATGTGTGTAAGCCGGGCTGGTGACTGACCTGCTGCAAGGTGTCATCCTTTTCCTTCAACATCTCCTTGGCAATGGTGAGCTTGTCAGATCGTTGCTTCAGCACATCTCGCTCCTTTGTGAGCGCATAGACCTTGCGCTCTGCTGCTGCCAGCCTTTCTCCATATTCCCTGTGGAGCTCTTCTGACTCTGCTTCCAGCTCTCGTGCACACTTTGCCAGTTCTCTATTCTTTGCCTGCACGGCAAGCAAGACAACTCAGTACGTTTACAGGGGACAACAGTCAGCCAACCCCAGCAGTTGGAAAACATGTCCCCAGAGCAGCAGCGCCAATGCGGATGAAAAGGCCAGCACATTTGTGTGCCTGAGGACACAAAGAATATGCAAGGGCGTCATTTTCACATAGGAATGACGTCAGACAGCATGCTCGTGCCATGGGAAGGTGAGCGAGATGTAATCAGCGTGCAATCTGGTTTTCGTTTCTAAATACATCCCAGGACGCGGACACCACCCTGAATCAGTTATTCAGTGAATGAATGTATCCCCATACACTTTGTGGTCATTTGAGTGCTGCTACTGAACAAGCAGGGACAATACATCAACCCTGTAGGCTTCTTGATGACATTGTGGTCCTCTTGGTGGTCTGGTTTTGGATGTAGGCTATACAGTAGTACGTTAAGCCCTTACGCATAGTAACGCCATGCTTAGCCATCTTTTGCAGAGAAAACAATACAATCAACAACGCTCTTTTATGAAAGTTTTGCAGAGCAACGGAACAAAAATATAAATAACGCTCTGAACACAAGAATGCGGAGTAAAAAGTGTAATGATAAAACTTTCTGATGCACAAGGGTTGAATATTTTATGGTACCAACTGCAAAAAGGACTACAGTTTCACCTAGACAGCTGCAACACCACTTGTATGCCCTCAACAGACAAAATGCAACCACTCGTGCACGGCTGGCCAACCTCCAGGTGAGTCTGCGCCTTTCGAAGTGCCGCCATCTGCCGGGCCTGTTCCTCTAGCTGTTTCAGTGTGCTGTGCATCGCTTGCATCTCAGCAGCTTCAGACCTCTGGCCTGCACCATGGCCAGCATCACCAACAGCATGCACCAGCCCACTTCCGCCACAACCACCACTGCACCCGTCAACCCTGTCGAACTCCCCCACTGGTGATGGTTGACAATCTGCTAACTCGCTGGAAGCTCTATCTGCAGGGGGATCTGCTGCCACAGGCGTCTCAGCTGACTCTTCTTCAACTGGAATGATCGCAGCGCCTGACAGTGCGCCTGAGCCTACGCCAAAGGTTCCCAGGTTCCAGTCATCATCCGCCTCCTCCTCAAACCAGGGATCAACGCCAGTGAGTCCACCCGAAGTGGGACCAGCAAGTCTTGACGAGCTGTCGTTGGCCCCAGACACCCTCACGTCCTCTGGAGGTGCTTTGGCAGGCCTTTGCCCTGGTCCGGACTCCAACAGCAACCCTGGGGATTCTGCTTTCTTGCCCTTTTCTGTTTGACCCGCGTCTCGTTGGTTCTTGGCCGCAGAAGCACCTGCATTTTCCTCATCCTCGGCCTCACTGCTCCCATCAATGAAGCGCATCAACTTGGCTGCCATATCCGACATGAGCGGCTCGCCCGTGTCCGCCATATCGCCGCCAGGGTTAGACTTTGCTCTGCGGTGCAGATCGCGCACACTGTCTTTCGGATGCTGGGTTGTGGACAGGCTGGTGTCCAGCATGGAGACTTCATGTATGATGCTCTGCACCTGCACAGTCAGGGCAGGGCAAAGACAGCTTGACCGCGAGCTTCTTCCTGGTATGAGTCTCACCCGCCTGCCAGTCAGTGGCAATCGCCACAATTGAAGACGGTTCTCAGGACTGCGGACACGCTTACTTCCACAAGTTCACTGCTGGTGCAACCAAAGCCTGCACCAATGCTCAAACCAGCTCTTTGCACGGCGCGAGCCCGCTATGGCCCCGCGCAACGGAGGACCACAGAAACCAGAAGCACAAGCGAATCATCCAAGGCCATGCCACCGGCAGGAAAACCAAGGCGCGGGTGTGAGAAAGGCGCCCACGCCCTAGTGCGCTTCCCGCGACGCCCAGGCGCCGCCTCGCAGCGGCGTCCAGCCAGGATTTCGCGCGCGGAAAGGTCGCCTGCGGCCGACGCTGACGCCAATCCACGCCCAACCATCGCCGGCCCCACCTTCTCATGCCTCGTGAGGTCCGCGCCTGACCCATGACCGCGACGCTCGGGGAACCCCTCCGCGCCCCTGCCTGCCGCACACAACGCAGCGTGGCACAGTTGAGCGCATGCCATTCCAAGCGGGATGTCCAGCGCCAAAAGCGCCCGCCTGGCCCCAGGGAACCTGAGTCGCGCCAGAACCACGGCGCAAACCAACCACCCCGGGAAGCCCCAAACAGGAGTGACATGTCCGCACCAGCGGCGCACAGCAGCCAGATTGATTCATCCTCGCGTTGAGCCAGGCAAGGCGTTTAGAACCACCTGCGATCGGAGACGGATCCATGGCCAGGCTCAGCGACTCGTCCCATTGCTCCACCTCCGTTAGGACGCGCTGCAGCGCGTCGCCGATGCTCTCGCCCAGCTTGGCGAGGCCGTCCAGGCCGAAATTGCCCCACATCTCTCCGGGCGCGCGATTCGACGCTCGCGATGCCCGAGGCTTGCAACGGGGCCCCTGTCAAGGGTAGCTTGGTTCTGCCTTCGGGCGCCCGGGACTTGGCCGCGCCCACAGGTCGATCCTTTTGGGGTCATCGAGTTGCAACGTGGGTCGGCTTGGTTGTACAGGAAAATTGCCGAACGGTGGGAGTCCATCCACCTGGGATGGGAGAATCCTCCATTTGGAGCGCCGTACTTGAGCCAGTACTTGGGCGCGTGCGCGCTGCGCACCATTCCAGTCGAACCTCTTGCTCTTCCACAGGACTGCTCTGCACGCCCGGGCGCCACCGACGACATGGCGGACAGGAAGGTCGCCGTGGTGAGGGGAGCACGGCGCTTGGCCGCGGCGCGGTGCGCAAAATTGGGTCCCCATTCGCGTGCCCTGCTCGGCTTCGGGTCGCTGAAGCCAATTCGACTCCTTGGCCTCAGAGTATTGAAAATCACCAACCCCGCTCGCCTCCTGAGATTGACGCATGTCCTGGATGCAGCCCTCGCTGCACCTTCTCTCGCTCTGCGACCTCAAATTGGGTTCAACCAATTTTGGCCTTGCGCGCGCTTGGTTCGGACAGAGCTCGGTGCCGCAGATCGCGGAGGACACCCTTCGTGTCGTGCTGTGGCTCTGTGGCTGTCCGTCATGAAGTGGCTGTGACTCGGTGGGGCAGGACATGGCGTCGGGGACCCTTGCGGGGGCTGCTCAGCTGATGGTGGGCCATCCGTTCGACACCATCAAGGTGGGTAGGATTGGGGAGGGGGGGGAGGGGGGGGATCCGAATGGGGCGCTTTGGCTGCTTTGGGTTGGAAGATGAACGGGCACGTGGGAGCTGGTGGCTGCGGGGGTTGTGTGTAGTGTGGGGAGGCGAGCGCTTCTGCGCGTCCGGTGTTGGAAGGGATCGGGGGGATTGCATTGGCTTGGGATTGCAGTGTGCTCTCGAATAGGAAGCGGATGGTATGTGACAAGGGAACCCAACCAGGAGGGTCAGGGAGGATTCATTGTGGCAAGGGAGTGTAGCGTGTCCGATTATATGCACCCCTCTGCCCAGCATTGCAATGGTGAGATTCCTTCTGTTCAGTGAAAACTGAGGTGGAGACCTCCACCTGGCAGGGTACCAACACACGGTCCAGAGCAAATCTCAGAAGGAAACTCAGGGCTGTCTGTGGAGTTCTGATTTGTTTGGCACTGCTGGTATTGCGGCTGCCAGCTGCTTTCGATCACAGGCTTGAGAGCTTGCCTCCGATCTGTCACAGAGTTTTCAATTTTGTGCAAACAGCTACGGTCATCCCTGAGTGCATGTTTTTTGGTATTCACCGTACTCTGTGTTGCACACTCTCCCTGTTGTTTGCTTTCCAAGGTGTGAAGCAGACTGCCCCAAAATCTATATTTTCAGGAGGGTTTTGCCTGTGTGAGCTGTGTGCTAAAACGGCATTTCTCTGGTGCCATTTCAGGTGAAGCTGCAGAGTGGGGGACACTTTAAGGGGTCCCTCGATGCGACAGTGCAGGTCGGTTGCCTTGGGATTTTAAAAGGGCAAAAGGCCAATTAAAAGGCCAATCAAAAATTGGCTTCTCTTTCTCTCTTATGGCACGGCCCACATGCTGACAGCCTCCGGTCTTCCCCACGAAGGGCTTTGAACATATGCACACTTCATACATCGGCGCTCATATCACCATGTATAGCCACAGCTGTTCTGTGAAAGCAAGAATCACCTGAACACATTTGTGACCAGTGCTGCTGCCCAATATTGATTGCAGCTTGCCATCCAGCATTGGAAAACGCGAGTTTTCACAGTTTGCGCAGTGGAAAATGTGAGTTTTCTGGCACAGGTCCGCAGACTTGGTTTTAAATGCAGATGTGCCAGCATCGGCATTGCCGGAGTGCATTGAAGACGGCTGAATGATATGACTTATCCCTCACTGCTGTGTCCTCAGACTCTGACAAAGGAAGGCATCCGTGGATTCTACAAGGGCATGGGGGCTCCGCTGGTCACTGTGGCAGCATTCAATGCTGTCCTTTTCTCTTCAAAAGGGATGATGGCCAGCTTGTTAGCCCACAAGGACAGCAGCCCCCTCACTGCTTTCGACCAGGCTCTGTGCGGTGCAGGCGCAGGGGTGGCTGTCTCATTTGTTGCCACCCCTACAGAGCTGCTCAAGTGCAGACTCCAGGTTACTCACTTGCCACAAAGCATGTCCTCACAACTTGCAAATATTTGCTGATTCTAATGTTGACATGTGGCAAATCGCTGCTGTTTTATGTGTTGTGTGATGATGTTTGAACATTGCCTTGCTGGCATGTGATAGAGCTGATGTCAAGTTGGCATCTCATCATCACACAATCCACACCATCAGAGCCATTCAAGTCATGTCCAGTGTCAAGTCAAGGTTGATGCACAAATTCGCACAAGTCCAATTACCATGGTGCTGCAAATCACTGTCCTGCATGTCCACTGGGGACGGTGTTTTGCGATGCTAGTACCACAATGCTCCCAGTTTAGTGTGATGGTTACATCACTGTCCATCCCCTTCACCTGCTTCTCATGAGCCTCAGCATTGTCAGGGAATCTCATGGAATGATTGACTGTAGCCATGCACACGGACATGAAAGAAATTGACTGTTCGCTGGACATCTTGTAGCTTAGCAGACAGAGCGTGTCACACAGAGTTTGTGTTGATTTGATGAATTGCTGATGCTGCAGTCTCTGCAACTTTTTGTCCACAATCTTCAGATTTCTGTCTCCATTGCAAAGCTCACCTGCTATCTTCATGTGTTCCTTTGCCACTGCCAGACGCAGCATGTACAGTAGTCAATCAGTTGTACATTCCAAGGGGCATTGAGCAACGACCAAGACACACACCAGTGCGAGTGTTCTGGCTGTGTGTTCAGCCTTGTGATCTTCTATGAATTTGACCTTTGAGGTGTAAGCTGGAGATGCCCTGAGCAGCAAGACTATTGGCTGTGGAAGCTGCGCAGTGTTGTCTAGAAGACATGGGGGGGCATTCACTGGCTTGTCCAGTCTTTAGCTGTACACCCCTTGTCTTTTCAGCAATTGGCGTATCTCGAGCCCAAATATAGCTGCTGGGGAATTGGGGTGTCAACCAAATGACTTGGCAAATAATGTTGTGACCCTAGGGCACCAAGAGAGGTTTTGGGTGTATATACTCACGTGACCACCTTCAAAATAGGTGATAAAGTCCAAAGTGTGGAGATTTGCGGTGTTTGCTATAGAGTTGCACATCTCTCTGATCTCTAGTTTGCAGGTTTCTTCCCTTGTTGTATGGTGCTGTTTTGGGGGGATTCAGATGGCCATAAGAGCGATGTGGGGGACATAGGCGCACCTGGATGTGCCCCTCACACGCTGGTTTCACATCCAACATTTATCAATGCCATGGCGGTCATTGGTGATGCATCTGTGGAAGGAACAAGCAAACGAACATCACTTGAAAATGCAGGGGCACCAGAGTGCCCCACAGAGGCAAAAGTAAATCAAGGCGTGAGTTGGCATTAATTGTTTCGATTGTGCGCAGGCCCAGGGATCGATTGCGACAGCAACGGCAAGGCTAGCGGCAGCAGGCATCGACCCCAGAACGGTGCGGATGCTGCTTTTGTGTGTTTTTTTCCTTTCCAGCTTGAGCATATGTTCTTCGTTCATTCGCCAGGTTTGCTGTGTGGAAGGCACATTGTTGAACAGAGTTTAGGCAGTGAGAGGGAGCTCAAAGCAGTAGATGCATAAAATTGTGTGCACATCAGGCTTTTTGCTGTGTATTCTACAATGCAGATTTTCAGTGTTTGTATGTTTTTGTTTCTTAAGTTTTCGACATCTTTCAGGTTACGCTATACAGAGGCCCTATGGATGTTGCCAGACATGTTGTCGTGAATGAGGGTGGTGCCTTGGGCCTTCTTCGGGGCATCTCACCAACGTTGTTGAGGGAGATACCAGGAAATGCTGTCATGTTTGGGGTCTATGAACTGCTCAAGACGCTGATGGCAAAGAGTCAGGTAAGCACCAGACAAAAAGGACCTGGCTGCATCAGTTCCATTGGCCCAGCAATGCCGATCATTGGAATGTGATATGATGCCCACACAGTAGAGTGCTGCACTTCAGCCCATTGCTGATGAGGATTTTGAATAAATCGTGTTCTTTGGTAATTTGATGTGCATCAATGCCAAATCTCAATTGCTGTAAGAATGTGATGAACCTATTGTGTTTTATTGTTTGAGGCATCACGTGGTCATTCCCAGAACATGTTGGGAGTAAGCAGACCTCTGATGTGGTTGGTGCATCCTGTGTTTACCCTGCCGCTTGTTGCGACAGGTTCAAAATGTTGCACCAAAGTTTGTGTCAAAAATATTGTCCAAAGGAACATGCTCTTTTCTCGTGAGCTTATGTCCTGTGTGCAAAACAGCATTCGCTACAGGCAGGATGGATGAAGAAACACAGTTCTCACTGTATCCATGATGTACGAGCTTCGGCTGCATGACTTGACAAATACCTGTGCTTGAATGTGGAATCGGGTTCTCATCATACTGCACGAGTGGCTAGAACTGTCCACATCGAACAGACTAGCTATCGCTGATGTTTAGATGTGCGCACGAATATGTCCAGCAGACATTCTCCACATTGGACACTATTGAACCTACGATTGTTTGTGAAAGACACACAGCGTTTTAATGGAACCTGTCTCAAACCGAGATTCAGTGACTAAATCAAGTTCTGGGCCACAAATCCGCTTCCAATTTACCAGCAACTTGGGTCCAGGGTGATGTTCCAGCGTCCATGGGGATGAAGCAGTGCATCCAGAAGAGCAGACTCTTTTCTAACGTGATGACAGCTATGACAGGTGGCAAAAGGCGTTGTTGTAAACTGGTTGATGCAGTTTTGAGGTGTTGCTGTCACCTGACACGCATTGCGACTATCTCCCCACCTGCAGGGATTGCCTGACACGTCTGGGCTGGGCACACTCTCTTTGGGAACAGCGGGGGCTGTTGGAGGAGCTGCCTTTTGGCTTGTCATGTACCCTGCAGATGTCATCAAAAGCAAGATTCAGATCGACAACGTGCACAGGCCGATTTACAAGGGAATTGTGGACTGTGCTATTAAGGTAACGCGAGCATTGCCCCTTCAGTTCTGTGAACCAAAAGCTGATGACGAACCTGTTTTTTCTTTAGGCATGCAACAGTACATTGGCTGCATCTGGAAGGACTGGTTTCGAGATTGCCTGTTCAGCCGAAGGATGTTGATGGTTTATGGTTGTCTCCCACCCAGCAAGATTTGTGAATGAGGCTCCTGTCCCCACTGCGAAAGACGGTGCAGTGTCTCAGGAATGTCACAGCAGCAGCGCAGAAGAGATGAGCATGAACAGCAAGAATCTTTGCCTCCAAGGGGGCCTGTATGCATCGGTGCAAAAGCTGGAAAGTGAATGCTATATGGTGTATAGTGACTAGGCCGAAACCACTGTGTGTTTCAAAAGCCAAACCCAATGTTCATCGAAAATCCCGACCATCTTGCAGAATTGCAGACAGAATTGAAGGATTGGAACGTACTCAGGTCGGCACTTGTGGGAATCGCACAGGGCGCTTCTGAAAAAAAAACTTCTGGTTGACAACATTGCCATAGGCTGTGCCTGAGATGCAGGCCAGCGATCTTGCTTGTACTGTACACCACTGGACTGACCAGGCCCCACCAGAAAGAAGAGCAATGGGTACAGACATGTCCAGTGTTTCTTCTCATCCACTTTGTGCCCCTGTTAATCCACTTTGCCTTGCCATTTGGGCAGTGTCAGGTTGTGTAATTCAGCATTGATCATATGCAGCTAAGTATCTAAGTATCTCAGCACATTCCCATGCGTTTTCGAGGCAATTTCAGTGCTGTTCACTTCCACGAATGTGTTGATCCACATTGATGCCAGTGCTGAGCACAGTCTGCATGGTTATTGGCTGGCTCACAGGTGCATGCTTCTGAGGGAATGGCTGGACTTTACCGTGGGTTCGCCCCTTGCATTGCAAGGTCCTTTCCAGCCAATGCTGCTTCCTTCTTGGTGTACGAACTGGTGTCTGGATTCCTGAACGGGCGCAGTAAGTACTGAAGCCGACGACGCTGTGAGAGAGGAAAATCTGGGAAGTAGGAAAACTGGCAGCGATGGCAGCTGCTAAGCATTGCTCCTTCATAGAGTTTGTGTTGGGTAGGATGGCGTCGCAAACGCAACGAGCTTTCGCACTGCGCCTGTGTGCAATGCTGAAGGCCCGCCTGTGACCACTGGTCGCCTGTAGCAGTTGTCTCTCGACCACAGTCTTGTACAGCAAGAACCATGAGAATATGAGGTCCTGGCAGCTCTCTAATTATGGCAATAGGAGCTAAAAGCAGGTGCTGCCTTGGTGGGGTGCATGAGTTGTAGGAATTTTTCCAAAGTGCTCGAGGCATTGTACATCGTGTGCACAGATACCACAAGGCAGGCAGGACTTTCTGAAGGCATTCAAGCGGGTTGTGGCTGCCAATACCATCCAAGTCTTGTGGCAGGGGCAATGGCAGGCCGGTGGTCTTGATGGCGCAGTCGAAATAGTTCCAGTAGGTTGACATGGACAGCCACTTATTGTGTCAATGCAGAGTCTGCTGCACCTGTGAATTGCCAAGGAGGCAACCACCCCGTATGGGGTCCAGGTGGTCGGCATAGTGCAGATAGGTCCGTTAATTGATACAAGCAATGCATCCTGCGTACTGTCAGGTCTTTTGGAGTGAGCAGACTGTTTTGAGCAGGCGTGAATGCATTTAGCGACCTGGACAGTGCTGGCCTCAGGACTGGGGCAAGTTCCGTGGACAGAAATAGAAGGCAGAGATAATTTGCCTATCCCACGTTGGGCTGCTGAATTGAGAGAGGCAGGAACTAGCACACAGAATTCATGCCTTGTGAATGCGCGTTTGGGTGGATGCATCTGACGCCAATGGACGAGTGGGGAGGGCGGCATGCAGTTTAATGAATGAGCGTTGATTTTAGCATTTGGGAGTGCGGATGTGTAGGTAGATTGAATATTCAATGGGGAAAGGATTGGGCACGTGCGGGATGTGTGTGCGTTTGGGCATTTCATTTATTGTTAGAATTCACTTGTTCGTTTGCTGACTGCAATTGTTTTAGAGAATGAAAAATTGATGGTGACGTGTGAGGGCAATTCCCAGAATGGGAAACTCTGGGACGCGATTGTGAATGCAACAGCCATGCAACAGGTTACCAGTTTTTCGTTTGGGTGCTTGTTTTGTTTTTCTGCAAGGCTAGCTAAGTTTCTCCCGTCAATGGCTATGCAGCGGTATACATTGGCTCAGTCAGCAATGCAGCAGCCTTTCAAGCGAAGCGCACACTATGGTGCAGTATTTCATGGACATAGGGAGCTGAAGGTTGTGCCTTGAACGCGGTAATCGAAAGCGCCCAATGCTCCGCTGAGTTAAGTTCAAAAAAGAGAACTCGCGGGTGGCTTCCAGGACGCTTGGCGCTCCGCAGTCATTGTCTTGCTCAAAGCCATCCGTCCTGCTCTCTTTTATCTGTCCCCCTGTCGAGAAGAAACCTCGGTCTCCTTTGTTTCACATCTGAAGCGGCAGGCTCTGAAGCACAGCGGAGAGACTCTTCAATAGCTTGTGCTTGTGAACCACTCTTTACTGCCATCAAGCAAAGTAGTCCAGGGCGGTGCAGAAAAATGTGTACAGTGTTCTCGGCTTGGTCAGTGGCGCACACCGTGGTATGCCGCACAGCACCAGGTTGCAATATTTGTCCCCTTCCAGCATGGGGCCATATCCCTGTTGTAGCCCTTTTCTGCCGGAGGAGCTTCCGTGCTAGTGATTTACTTTCCAGCACAACTCGACAGTCTGGCCACAGGATACGCATGACACAGAATAATAGTGCACCGAAAGTAATTCCATGCGATCGAATATGCATCCCCCGGCATGGAGAAACACAGAAGTTGAACAACTCGCTTTGGAGTCATTGTTTGCCGTTGCCACTGTTGTTGTGTCAAACGGCACAGACACGCGGCAAAGGCAGAACTGTACCATCAAATTGCCTGCGACCCCTATGCCAGCGTCATTCAGCTAGATTTAGATCTCGTGTGTTGAATGTAATCCGAAAGATAGCGATGAATGTTGGAAATCATAAAAATTTCCAGTGCTGGTCCAGAACGATTTGTTTGAGCGCACTGCTTGAACCGTCCACGGTGCCTGCTGCTGCTGACTAAAATTCCTGTACTCCAAGGCTTTGACTCGCCCAACGCGTTGTCTGCCGCCTGTTGGCGCGAACATGACACATTCCACATTGATCCTGCTGCTCTATTGAAATAATATTACTGCCTGCACCAAATCGGTGACTGCTTGCACCAAATCACGTGCACACTATGTCCTAACCTCAGTTTTAGGGTTAGGTTTAGTTTTAGAGTGAGTTTAAGGGTTAGGTTTAGGGCAGGTTTAGTTTTAGGTTTTAGGGTTTAGGTTTTAGGCTAGGTAAGTTTTGGAGGGAGTTGGTGCAAGCAGTCACCGATTTAGTGCACAAAGTCACCGATTTGGTGCAGCCAGTCATTGTATGCCTGCTCTATTGGGCTTTACCTAAGCCACTGGACAAATCGTTGTTTTTGCATGGCGGCACCCACTCCCAACACCAACGGGCCCTTGCTTTGGTGAATGCCGGCTCCTGTTGGGCTGTTGACGCGCGGCGGGCCCCTCCCCCAGGCCCTGGCCTCCAGATCGTTGCTGAGCCGCGTGATCGGCGCCCAGGGCCGCATCTTTAGCCGAGGCGCTCGTCGGGATCTGTGGTGCCTGATGAGCGGCCAGGCGGCCGGCATGATCTGCGGGGACACCTTCTTTCTGGACCCGTTCGCGGAGCGGCAGTGGGACGATCCAAAGTACCAGGGCACCAGGATAGACTTCGACAGGGTGAGATTTGCAGCGCTCCAACAGAAAAGCAGGTCGTGCAAAGGGCAGCCCCTCATAAGGGAGTGCGTGTGACTCTTTTACATTTTGTGAAGGATGTTGTGGATTCTTGCAACTCGCATACATGAGCACGCAACACAACCAAGAGACAGGTGTGAAGAAGGACTGTTGAATTTAGAAACTGAATTCAATGCTCCATAAGTCAATTGTGTGCCAATTGTGTTTAGGTCAATTGTATAATTCTCCTTGAATTCAGCGATTCATTGAGAATTGGCGAAATCCAATCGGACTAAAGTGCCGGGTGAATGTGCTGCTGTTGTGTTCCTCAAGTGCTGGACACGTTGCACACTTGCCCAACTGTGCACGGCTGTTGCATGTGCGTATTGGACAGAACAGCAACCATGCACTTAGGAGCGCCTTGGGCAACCATTCGTTTGCTCCCAGCATGTGCTTGCATGACTCGTACTGCCTGTGAGCGCCATACACATTGACAACTGGCCTGAAAAGGGCCGAAGATCGTATGTTTTAAATGGGAAAGATGGGGCACAAGGAAAGATTGTGGTGTCATCGCTGTTGAATACTTTTCAATACGCACTAAGCCTATGAACAGATGTCAAACTCCGGTCATGTGAGTGAAAACTCCTCAACATTCAGGGGTACAGGTTCAGATTTTTCCATTGAATACAAAGAACGTTGATTGAACAGCCATTGCTATGACCGGGGTATCCAATGGCCTAATAAACACAATGGGCCTTTTGCCGCCAATCAATTGCTGCGGTGTGCGAACCAGCGTGCTAGGAAGACTTTATTGGCAAGTGTTGTGTTGGTCTGACAGAGTATACTAAGAAATATGTTTGAATCCTGCCAATAAGTGTCTGTGTTGCCTCCTCAACAATAACAGCAATGCAGACAATAGGTTGCACACCCAAGAAATGCTGGCAGCAGCCATTCGAAGGTCTAAAATCCAGCTTGGTCTTGAGTTCAACTGCTGCTTGCCATTGGGCAGTTCCCATTGCCTGTGTACACATCCGATGCATGATTCGGAAAGATCACAAGTGACAGTTTTGCAAGGATGGGTAGTGAACAAAGTTGCCACACCGCCCGTATTGGCCTCAACTATTGCTGTAGTACAGCAACGAAGTTTGTCCTTGCCATCCCTTGTCAAAGCCTCTTGGATAAAGTCACACGTTCCTGGCGCAAGCATTCCACTGCACATATGTCACTCAGTCACACAATTATATATCAGTCAGTTTACATTTGGTGTTTGATCATCGAACCACTGCAGCCACAAAAATGGTACAGCAGTATTGGAGTAGTTATCAGAACCGGATGTGGCATCCCTCTGCGAATGGCATAGATGACTGCACGTTTTTTGATGTGAACAGTACCTCACATGGCCTAGTGCCAAAAGTGCCTTATCTGTTGTGTGTTCACATTGAAATCATGCCCTGGTGCTGGAGCGCACTGCATCACTTCCAAACATGTCTCTAGACTATTTCAACAGCAACTCACAATGATTTAAATACGATTGGTTCATGTGACTGTAGCCTGGCCAACTGGCGGATACCTAGAGCTGTGCTGTTTTCATTCTGCTGCAAAGGCGGAGTTTGTGAGGCGAGTGCACGAAGAACACAAGGCTGGTGCCCGTCTGCACGATGGCTATGCCCCATTCTGCAAGCACATATTTGTGAAGAACTTTGTTGGCGCAAAGGCAGGCGCGATGGCCATCACAAAAGAGAATAGGGGTCTATTGCTGTCTGGCTACACGAAGAGACGGCCAGAGGAGCTCGCTGTGCTCACACGGTAACAAAGTCCTGGCTTTAACAGATCTGGCAGAATTCAGTCAACTGGCGATCGCTGTGGCCGCTGCAAAGCTTGTCGATCTCATTTGTGAAATCTGTTGTTACTCTTGTGCAGCATAGCCTGCTTCCAAATTTATTTGTTCTTCACCATTCTGCGGACAGTGCATACTTCCTAGTTGCCATTCACATAATTGGGCGGTGTTGTCTTGTTGCCAGCTGCTGGGGGAATGTTCGGGCCCACAGCGACAGCAGCTGGCCAAACACTAGCTGAGGATTTCGATCCATGCAAGGCCTTGTTTCAATGTTGCACTGTTGGACAACTGATGGTGTTGCCTCAGCCGCAGTCCCACAAGTGCAGTTGGGCAAAGAGTTGAAGTTGACACTGCTTTAAGGGTGCCGTCGAGCTTGTTTTTCGAGTTTTGTCGACCACATAACGCACAAGACCATGAGCTGACAATGGTGCTGTGTGCATCCACCACGCTAATTTGCGACAACAGCTCACAAAACAAACAAAATTCTTTGTGCTGTTGCAGGTGGTTTCCTTCTGAGGCTGTCGCACGTCCAGAGGCTGCATACCTGGATGTCATTCTCTACTCCAGGTACGACTGTAGTGCGTAGGTGGAAACTAGCTGCAGTTTTGCACTGGTGGATAACATATGTACCTTGGGCATCAACTGCCAGGATCCATGCCACTTGTTCTAACAGCAGGGTTAGAGGCACTGTGCTCATCTTCCAACTTTGGGGATTTTCTGCTTCGGAGGGCATGAGCACAGTGTGTAGATGCAATTGCGCCTATCGTGGCCTTGCAGGCACAAGGGTGCCCTGTCCAGTGCTGGCAATGGAATCGAACTGACTGCACTGCAGGGAGCAAGTCCTCAAGGAGCACTCTACCCTGGAAGGCGCTGGGCCCCTGCCAGATGTGCCTGATGTGCCATGGGGCATCATCTCCATCAAGGCCCAGATGGAAGATCATGAGACGCCTATGCAGCCCATCACAATGATGCGCAACTCGTTGGGCATGGAGCAGGGGGGCAGCGGTGTGCCACTGGACCGCGACGCCTACCAGAAGTCGGTCGAGTACTGGGAGCAGCACGCAACCATACTGTGACAGGACCTATCAACTGTTTTTAAACTGTGAGTGTCAGCCAGCATCCAGAGAAACTTCAAAGTTTTGGAGCCTTGACACGAGGCTTTCGTGAGTGAGAGGAATGAACTAACGGCTGGAATGTACCATGCAGATCGAGTTGTCTCACTGTTGGCATGAAGGTGCAATGGCACAGCCTTGTCGCATTTGGGCAATAGCGGCAAACGTACTGCCTGTGCTCCCTACCAAGAACAATTCCAATGGCAAGGGAAGCAGCAAAGGGGACAAAAAGGTGGAAACTCTGCTTTCTTGGCTGGGGACGACCACCGATGCTGATTCATTTGATTTGCTCTGGGCTACAGCAGCAGAGGATCGTGGGCCACTTCTGTTTGCCACCAGTGGCCATGTGCTTCTGCTCAGAGTTGGGAAATCTGCCGTTCAGTCAGAATCTAGCGATGGCAGGATGCCAACCTGCGGTGTCTTCTGAGGTAGCTGCCACGTTGTTGGTCTGGACAGGGGGTACACTCACTGCATTGGATGCTACAGCTGTACCTTGTGTGCAGCATTGACCGCTATATTGAATCGCTTGTCGTTGTTTGCTTGTCTAATCTTTCTTGCCTGTCGATTGAAGATCTGATACCTTTACCCAACTTGCACTTTGACTTTTTCCATTCACTATTGTTGTTGTTTTATTCATGTTGATATTTTCCTCAAGTCTGGCAGAGGATATGGCACCTGTGCATTGCCATTCTGGCAGCGTTTTGTTACCACTGTCTGCCAATCGATGAAGATAATTGCATTGTCACAAGCGGCCACTGAACCACACTGGAGCTGGAAACACTGAATCACAAACATGGACATTGGATTCTTGCAATTGCATTCGCTGCACACTGCAAAGGAATGTCCATGGGACCCAAATTGGCGATGTTGTGCACGAAGTCACAAGTGGAGCGTAGAAACAGAAACCCTGAATGTGCTCCAAACGGCCACAGTGGTTTCATCTATCCCTGATATTCCAATTCTTGCAACTCTGGTTGCACATTTCAGATCAATCTTGCGGGAAACCTCCAAGAAGTCGTGGGCATGGCAACTGGGGCCCTTGGTTGCCAAAGCCCCGTCCCTGCCAGTGACAGCGGGCGGACGCTTGGCTCAGGAACAAGAGCTGAATCCGTTCTAGTGAGCAGGTGGTGGCATGTGTATTCTGCGCTGCAGCCCTTTTCCCACAATCGTTGGCTCTTTAGTAGTTAGCATAACTTGAAAAACCCAAACCAAACTACTGAAGCGACTACAGTCCCGGCAAACTGCTGCTTCATCAAGCCAGCCGGGGCCACTCCTCCTTGAGGCCACCAAGAGATGTTTCCTTTTTGTGCAGAGAACATTCAATTCCTCACCAAGGCACGGTGGAGCCGTCGTACGCCAAGAAGGCCCCGTTCTGTTGGGGCGTCAGTGATTCGATGACGTCCAGGAGCATCCCTGCCGCTGCAGATGGCGCGAACAGTTTGCCCTCTGGCACGTTCCTTTGAAATGGTGCGGACAGGTCTGCAGGGCGTGTGCACACACAGGGGAAGGGTAAGATTTGTTGCAAAAGAGGAAAGGGTCACACAAAGGAAATCCCCTCCTAGGCAAGTGCGCTTGAGAATCTTTTCCATGCTTTGAGAAGATGATGAAGACTCTCCAGCGCAACAAGAGGAGCACACAAGACAACAGGGGAGAGGGTGATTCAGTCCATCGGGGCATTAGAATAGTGCCGTACTTGAATTGCACTGCAAGACTCGATCGGAAAGTGGGTTTGACAGGTCTGTCGGAGATACCTGGGCAATAATGTGGACAAGACAACCTGGCTGCGGCTGCCCAGAGCTGAAACAGCTTGCTGCGAAGATTCACTGCCAAGTTTGGTCTGCAAACTTACTGTTTACTGAATTGGAGCACGTTGGTGACTTTGCCCACAAAAAGCGTAACCGATTTGCAAGCCAGACAACCCAAAAAGAAGGTGTGCGTGCGCTCCATCCTTCACGTGTGCATATGCACAAAGGCCTTTGCATGCGCTGTGTCTAGTTCATCTATTGATTGGTGTCAGTGTTGACGGTGATGGAGTGGTGCATTACATTGTATCCTTTGTCGTGGAGTACAAATCTTTTGATGTGTGGTGTGTGGCGCACAGTATCCTGTGTTCATGCAACGAAACACTGTAGCAAATACACATCGCAGCGTTCTTACTAAATTCACACATTCTGCTGCGTGAATCAGTATCATATTATCGTACATTAGAAATGAAAATATGCGAAATAATCATTAATCAATTAATCATATAATCAGCATATAAGCATATGTTGCGACCGAAGCGAGCGAGCTTTGTCGTATACTTTCTCCGTTCTATATTAATTGTCGTCTATTTGAAAGACAAAATTCGTTGCAAGGACAGGCTCAAAATTACAAAAAGGTCAAAATCGAAAAGATTGGGTCCCAAAACCATTGACTACCAATTTCCAAGAAGAAAAAGTGAGACACGACCCCTTTGAGTGCTAGCCGAAAGGTGAATTTTGGTCATCTTTGACTCCAAATATCGCGGTTTACTGGGTAAGAGGACCCTTGATACAAAGTACTGCCATATCCTCAATACTTAATGAATTGACTCGAAATTTTGATAGTTTACTCCAAACCCATGAGCACAATTTTGGGTGAAATTTTAATTAAAAATTGATGTTGGTATGATGGAGAAATAATGCCCTACAGTCATAGACGACAATTAATCTGGGACGGAGCAGGTCATTATTATCATATCCTGAATCAATATCTCAAACATACGCGTCACCGTAATTTTAGCTCCGTCCAACGACACCTTATCACTTGTCACCGTACGTTGCCGTATCGCACGAGACCAGGGTCCTGCGAGTTCCCCGCCGTCGGGACAGCACACACGCCGGGCCTTAAGGGCCCAGCGGCGAAGCGGGAAAGCGGGGACGGGCCCGCCCCAAGCCAGCCCCACCTGTGGCGCACGTTCCCGGGTGCAGGGCCACGCAGACGACCCCCCTGCGCCCCAGCTCGATGCCCATCGTCCTCACCGCCTGGTTTTGTGCCGCCTTGGACATCCGGTACGAGTACCACCCCCCGATGCCATTGTCCCCGATTGACCCCACCCTAGCGGACAGGCTCGCAAAAACGCCCGGCGGATGCCCATCGCCACCGGCCAGTACCTCCCAGAAGTGCTTCCCCAGCAGCAGGGGCGCCGCGGCGTTCACGGCCAGATTGCGCGCCAGAAAATCCGCGTCCACGCGGCGCAGGGAGGTCTCCGGCATCCGCCTGCTGCCCCCCAACCCGCCCCGATCGTGCAGGAGGCCCACCGTGTTGATCAGCAGCCCGAGGCGATCACCTCCCAGGGCTTCGCGCACAGAAGATGCCGCCTTGGCCACGTCCTCATCGCGTGAGGCGTCGGGGAGCGCCACAGTTGCCACCCTGCCGCCGCTGGCAAGGGAGACCTGTTGGAGGGCGGATGCAGATTGTGGGGATCGGCACAAGGCGAAGATGCGAGGGGCGCCGCGGCGGAGCAGCTCCTGCACGAGCGCTAGGCCTGGGAGGAGCAGCAGCGCGGGTAAGATTTGTTGAAAAGAGATGGAGAGCAGAGATGGAGAAGAGATAGAGCAAGTCGTATACGGGGCCTTGGACAGAGGCAAAGATTGTTTGCAAAGAGATGTTGCAGAAAAGAGGTGGATAAGAGACAGGGCAAGTCATGCAAAGGGCCTGGGCGTGGAAAAAGCAGGGGCAAGAGCTGTCGTAATAGAGAAATAAAATGATAGAGAAACACAACGTGCGAAGGCACACAAGGGGCACGTTGCAAAGAGATGGAAAAGCGAGTAATGTATAGGGCCTGAGTGTAGAAGGAGCAAGTGCAAGTTCTGTCACAAAGAGATAGAGAAGCATGTCATACAAAGGGGCTGGGTGCGCGAGAGCCCGGGTGGAAAATTCGCAATTGCAGGAATGGCATGGCGAATGCACACGAGGCGCTGTGCGGCCTGCTAGGCCATGGACGGCTGCATATGGGCGGGATGGACAACATGGGATGCCAGCTGGCGTCCAACTGCCTGCTGGCAACTAATCGCCTGTCTGAAAAATGGGACGACAATCTATAGGCGTCCGAGCAAAAGCAACGGAGTCTGTCAGGTGCCAAGGGGACATGGGCAGGGGCGGGTCAGGAGAGGGTCGCCTGAATGGGCGCACAAGGCTTTGATCGCAGGAAAAGGCGCACCGATGCCTCGGCTGGCTCCCGCGACGACCGCATTGGCGGTTCGAGCGGTTGCCGCCGTGGCCAAGAGGGCGGCGTGGGGGGCGCTAATGGCGGCAGCGAGGCGAGGTGCCCTGCCGGAGAGGGCCATTTGGGGATGCGGAAGGCGTGTGAATAGTTGGGGGGCGGTGTTGTGGCCGGTCCTGGACCCGGTCGTGTGGTGCCTCCGCCTCCTGCCTCCTGCATGTGGCTCCCGCTCCCTCGCCGCTTCGCCTTTTGCGTTCTCCCACAGAACGTTTTCTGCGACAGGGGGGATGCACGGCGGTTTTGGCGGCAAATGAGACGGTGTAGTTTAGCTCGGCACCGACAACGGGGCATGGAATTAGCCTCTCTGCCTTTCTTTTCGTGAAGATCCCTTCTTGGTTCTGACAACCTAAACCCCAAACTACTGGCCCGCTGACCGTCTTGGCCTTGTCAGTGGAAGAAGGGATCCTCAAGGAAAAGACAGAGGGACTAATATATTCTCGACAACAGGGGGCGACGCGTGGAGTTGAGTTCAATTCGCGAGAATTTGATGACGCACCGATTCTCTTGGGCTTCATGGCCGTTTGTAAGCCCCGAGTCTCCCCTTCTGTTACCCGGCATGCACTGCATTTGGAACGATATCAAGCCCAAACATCTGCAGTCTTGGGCAATGTCTCAACAACACCCTGAACACCAAACACAAACTACTAAAAAACCCATAGTTTCAGAATAAGGGATACAGCGCTAGTGTGCTGTGGGACTATTGTCCAGCTGATGCAGAAAGTTCTCAGTGAGGATCAACAGAGCAGCCATTCTTGAAGTCACAAATCTTGTGGGCAAGCATCATAGGCCGCAGTGAAGACAATACTCCAGGCGTCGCGTACACCTTTAGCGAAGCTGAGCAAAGAATTCGAGCGTGCAAGTGCAGCCACCTGCCTTGCTGCTGTTAGCCCCAATTGATCTCCTTGCACATCGCTGCGGCAGCAGCCAACTGGCCGTTCGGGGCCAAGGAAACTACTCACGGCCTCATCAGATTTGGAGAAAGGAAAAAGCCAAGAATCAGGAAATCACGCAGCAACTGAACTTGTGTTCTAACATTTTGGCCACCTTTGGCCACGCACCACTTACAATTACACTCCCTGTTCTCATCGACGCGAACAAGCCTAGATTCGCACAACCGTGTTTCTACCTCTGGAACCTACATCACACTCCCCCAGTGTTCAAGGCGCCTTCTAGTCAATAAGGGCCCTCCACTTGTCCGTTGAATAGCCAAATAATTTGAAATCTTCCTCATAGATGCTATACACCTTGTCCAACAAATCATGTGTGTAGTATGCCGCCACATCCTCGTCTCCAGCACTGGAAGCCAGGCGCTCTGGGTGGTTTTCCGAGGGCTCATACGCCTCAAGAAAAGACTCAGTTCCACTTTCCCCCCACCCAGATGCACCAAATTCTTGCCACAGGCCCAACCTGGACAGCAGCTCTTTGATATCACGCCTCATCGTTTCCATGTGGGCAATGAAGTTGAACCGTGAGTGAGTCATTCCACAGGACTTGTACTGCTGCGTGAAGTGCTTGTTGTCATGCACCATGTAGGGGTGCTTGTACAGGGTGTCCACATACTCGTGAAACTCCGGCACCCGATCCTGCTTCCAGTGGATGTAGCTAAACAGCCTGAGGTCGACGATTTTCTGCAGGTAGGCAGACAGGGTTCGGGCCACTGGGTCCCTGACGATCGAGATCTTCAACCAATCCATGCTGTCAAAGACGGCACTTATGTTTGGGGCTTTGAGGTGCACGAGGCCTTCAAGCCGCACGCTCTGTGTCCTGTTGGCCCAGGACTGGATCCCCATCATCCGCTTCAGCATCATTTTCATAACTGTGCTGCCGCACTTGGGAATCAGGCACACCATTAGCTGGTGGTTGGGGTCGGTCCAGGAGTTCCTCAGGAACTCCCGCTCGCCAAGCTCACCAACCACATCTGCAGCTTTAGTCATCGTGGGATCTGCCCCACAGGTCCAGATGCCTCTCCCACGGGTCAGTGAGAATGTTTTGCCCAGCAGATGGTCAACAGTCTGTGCACAGATGCTCTTGTCTAAACAAGGCACACCACCATCAGGTGCTGTCTTCGATACTGAGGAAAGCGATGTGCGCCGCTGATAGTGTTTGTGCACCACTCCATCAAACTCCGCATTTTGACAGTCGCCTTGGGGCTGCCCAAGAAGATGCAATGGCAGAAACCTGCAAGCCAACACACACGCGCATACATCACTGCCGATGTAAGTGCCGCATGAGTAGTCACTGACACTCCTTAGTATCCTGGAGCCAAGCATTCCTCAACAGGCTTCACTGTTTGAATTATGCATGAACATGGTGGCATTGCTGGCTGCGCAACATTGTCCCCTTCTGCCTGGGGACACTGTTCGTACTAGGTCCAGCTGCTCTGCAGCCACAGTCTCTGATATGCACATCTTGGAACTCTGTCCAACACTGCAATGACCTGCTGACGTTCATATTCAGGACATCACTGCTGTCCTCAGATTGCTGTGTGCCATCCTGCCCCTATTGACCAGCATGTTCGGATGAACACTTCACCCTTTTCCTTGATTTCTTTTGGCAGTTTTCTGAAATGTGGGTTCAACAGGTCAAACAATGACAAGGTCAGGATGTGACCCAAACACATCCAATGCACACACATGTGGTACGAGACAAGAGGGAAAGCCCAACAGCACCCGGCATTGGTCGCACTGTCTGCAGTGGAGACCACCAAACTGTCACAGATATGGGGCTGCAGCAGAGCGTAAGAGAGGAAATGAGGAGCAAACAGGCATCAGGAATGCACAACCGCTCATCATCTTTTCGCTGCCTTTGAGGGGCGCAGACATTACTCTGGCCTATGAAGGGAAACGTACTCGTGACAGAATGCTTGCGTGCTGCCATCCTGTTGGTGCAACATGCAGGGAACAGGCAGCTATGGGTGGTAACAGCTAACAGCAGCACGCTTTCCAAACACCATGCAGTGTGGCGTTAGTTAGGGCCCTGCAACCCATTTCTTACTATCATGTAGTCACACCAAATAAACTGCCTACCATTGAACATGTGTCCTGCACATTCTCATACAGAACTAAAGTCCTATTATATCTAGTGTCACTGCATTCCAACAGCTCAAGTGATTCTACTCTGCATGTTTTTGGTACCAACACATACCTTGCACAGTATTACAATGTCTACTGTTGTCGTGCACATGCATTCGCACACATTGTTTGTTGCCTTCGTGAGCTCTTCTCACCTCCGTGGACACCTCCAACCATCTTGACCCTCACCAGGCCCCGGCCCAGCCCAGAAGGAATACAAGTCAACCTCCAGCACCCTCCGAACTGCTTCCATCGCCATGTCTGGGACAGCTGCAGGCAGCACGAACAAATGGTCTGCACCCCCGTAATGCAGGAACTGCACTGATGCGCTCAGCCTGTGTTTCAACTCTCCCAAAACTGTGGCTGATCCGACAGGATCCTCGTTGAGGATGGGGTGTACAAAGTACAGTGGCACAATGAACAGGTCAGCCTCATCGACATCGAAAGTTCTGTTGCTGTGGCCCTCAAGCGCCTCGATGAAACAATCCATTTTGGGGTCAGGTCCCAGTCCATTACGGACACTTGCTGTGCCAAAAATGTCATTGTTATAGATGTAGAACCTTGTTCCCTGCTCCAACTCCCCCAAATCGTCATCAGGAAGTTGTTGACCAATTTTGCTCCAGGAATCGTCGAACCCTGTCTTCAATTTCATGTGCACATCTTTGCCATCGGAAGACTCAGCTGCCTCCAATGCTGATATATTACTTGGCCCCTGAGCAGACTCTGCAGGCACCTGTACAGCAGGTTCCTGTACAGCAGGCTCCACTGCAGATGGAATATTTCTGTTTGATTGCTGCCAAAACAGTGGACGGCCTGCACAACACACAGCAGAGGTAGGTTTCAATCCATCCGTGCGCGTGCAAATGCTCATCTGTTGCCCTTGACAACAGCATTTAATTCCCTCCGATGACATTCGTCCAGCGTTCTTGGCTACAAGGGTATTGTTCATCCTGGTACATGGGCTGCCACAGTGCCCAAAATGGCAAAAGGGTTTCAGGGGACTGAAAGTAATGAAAGGCTTTCTCACTGAATGAAAGCACAATTGGTGATGCTGTGCTTGCAATATTTGGCTGGAGCAGTCACGTGTTCAGTTGCACGCATTGCAAGTGCCAGAATCATCCACACACTGACCAACTGCTGGCACAAGTCTTTGGTGGGGACGACCCCACTTGTCAAGGTTGTTGGGTGGTGTCGCTGATGCTCTCCTGTTTGCCTATTGGGAGGTTGTGTTTCCATGCAGTGCATGCACATAGAGGACACAGCAAACAGAGCCCTTGGACCTTGCATGCGGTGATGGGCACAGAAACACACAAACAATGTTTCCCAATATGTTGGCAGACAGCACCACAGATTTGCAAATTTCAGCCCACAAATCGAAGCACTGGACAACTGGACATCAACTGCTGCTTGTGCGTCCACTGATATATTCGTTTTCGGGCATCATGGTCAAAGCTGCCTGTGCCAGCTTGCAATGCTCCAAAATTAAAACCAGCAGCATCTACCTGTTGAAAGTCGAACACTGTGAGCAATGCTAATCCATTCTGAATACTCAATTCCGGCAACAGCCCTCTTTGTGCTCAGGGCTTGGATTGTCAGATTTTGCAGGGAACAGTTCCTGTGCGCACTGCGATGCTGGCCCCCATCAGCGCCAAAACAATAGGTGCTATAGAGCGAGGGAAAGACCACAAAGACCGCGCCCTAGTCCACAACGAGCCAGAGACATCAATCCAACTGATAAGTGCGCATGTCTTGCTCACAGAGCAAGGCCTCCCCACCCTTGGATTGTCAATTTGAGACAGGACCACCGTTGCGCGCACTAGCCCAACGCCAACTGGGCAGGAATCCCAAGCCAAAACTCCACTCCATGACATCCATCCAATCAGACCCATCCATCGCGATTCCCGCCCACAGGAGTTTACCTGGTTCCTTTGAACCCATTGTGACAAAATTTCTATTCTGGAACAAACCTAACAAATTCCTGGAAAGAGGTCTCCGGCACCGCGGCAGCCTCCACGCCGCAAGGTCGCCGCTTTGCGTTGTCGAAGTCAACTCGAATGAATGAATGAGCGAAAATCCTCACAGGCAACGTGAAAATCCGACACATTGGTCACGTGACGTGCGTCTCTGCTGAACTCAAATAGCCAAACAGCGTTCCCCTGCCAGCAGTTCTACACTGACCAAACGCAACTCGAACCAAACCCAACCCGGCGCTGCGGCTCTCAGGGCTGGGCGGGGATCTGCGGCTTTCAGCCATTCTGCCGCGCAACAGCGGGCCGCTCCCCACCTGCCAATCGACTCTCCCCGGGCCAGGCCGGCCACAGCGCCACCGTAAGCGCCAATCCCACGAACACCAGCACCACGCACCGCATGGCCAGCCTGCGGCACGCGGCCTTTGCTCGCTTCTCGTCTCCCAGGATTCGAAACCGCCGGCGCGTCATGCCAGAGGCGAACTGCAGCGACCCGCCAGCGGCAAACCCAGCAATGAGATTACAGGCCCGAGAAAGTCGCAAGGCTCGAGCAGATCCGGATGCCTGGAATTCAGCGAGGATTCAGGTGAACAGAATGGTCGTCTGGGAGCCTTTAGTGGCCGCGCTTTTGGCCTTTAGAGAGCATGGGTACGGAACGGGTGGGAGCCTGGCGGGGGTGGGGTGCTTGGGGCCGCAGGGCACACTCGCTGGACCATCGTTGTATTGGCCACACAATTACTGGTTGCACCAAATCGGTGACTGGTTGCACCAAATTCCTCCAAAACTAACCTAACCCAAAAACCTAAAATCTAAAACTTAAACCTAAACCTACTCCAACCCTAACCCTTACCCTAAAACTCATCGTAACACTAAACCTAACCCTAAACCTGCGGTTAGGACATAGTGTGCACGTGATTTGGTGCAACCAATCACCAATTTGGTGCAGGCAGCATTGCTATTTCCGCCATCAGGGGGTGGATGAGTCAGAAGGGCATTGCAGCCGGTGCTTGCCCGCAGTGGCACGTGCGGGGTGTCGTCACTTGTGGGAAACAATTGGACACAGGCCCCATCCTGTGTCCTATCCCTGTGCGTTGCTTTAAAGCAACAAGCTCATTGCGCATAAATTATGGCGATGGCTGAAGGAACTGTTGCTTTTTATGGTTTTTCCTATGTTTTGGGAAGCTTGCATACACTTGCTTCAAGCATTTTGGCAATACAAAAAGACAGAAGAGAAACAGGTCATACAATGGGCGCCCCCTCCTAGGCAAGCGCACGCGAGGCTCTCTTCCATGCTGTGAAGAGGTGATATGGAGTCTCCGATATAGATAGAGTCTCCGAAGATTTGTTTGTTAAAGAAGTCTCACCCCCAACATGATCGCGCATTCCATTGTTAATTACATGTACCGCGCAGCTTCTGCGGATGGGGACTTGGCACATTGGCCACTGGTGAGCGACATGACCCGTCAGGGGAGAGTCCCATCAGAACTCCCTGCCCTGCATCCGGCCCTGACTCCACCCAAAAAATACGCCCCGGGGCCATTCCGTTCAACGGCTTGGTCGGGGGGGGGCCGGCGCCGGGCGCATCCTCGTGGCTGGCGCGAGGCGCAGTGGAGAGGGCCGGGCGACGCGCCTGTACTCCACCCGGCTTTGCCCGCAACCCCACCCCCCAGGCAGCCTGGAACTCTTGTTGTTGGACTTGCGTTGCCTGCAGTTCTCAGGGCAGTTGCCGATTGTCATCGTGGGTGGCTTCCTCCCGTCCAAGGTGGCCGTCCCGGAGCCAGCGCGGTCGGTCAGGCTTAATTGAGCTGAGGGCACCGCTCTGTGACCCCTCTGCCGACCGCATTCGGGGACATCGGATAGCGAAGGAACAATCCGGGCGTGCCAACAGCCGAGCAGCCAGCCGCCTCCCCCACCGAGCAAGTTGACAGAGGAGTGCCACAATCCGGCCCTTGGAATCTTCATCCGCTTGTTCGACGTGCAACCCAGGCTGGGACCATCTCAGGAGTGATTGGACTGCCGAAGACCTTGCTGGAAGCGCCTCCTGGCGCAACAATCTTTTTACTGGCCAAAATCGTTGACTTGCGGACTGGGCAGCCGGGAACATAGTTAACGAGCGATGAGGAGGCATCCTGGTGGCGGGCGGCCGGCGGGCGCACGCTACGTGATCTGGGTCGTCGCTGCATGTGTGGCCGCCGCCGTGTTGCTGGTGCCCGTCCTGAGGCCCTTCGGGCCGCGCTTCATCGCTCCGACCACAGACGGTAGGGCCTTTGTTGGGTGGAATGGGGCTCGAGGGGATGAACTCTCCTCTTCCTTGCCCCTGGCCGGGCGGTTTGGTAGAGCGGTGGGACAGCCATCCCGTCAGAGGTGCCCTGTTCGATCGCCGGTTGGACATCCTCGTTGCAATCCGCGCTGAAACAGGGCAGCGCCTCGTTCGCGCGCCGCGATTGTGGATTTGCTTCGTCGTTCGTCGTTCGTCGTTCGTCGCTCGTGGTTCGTCGTTTCGAGATGCGCTGCTCGGGGCGATTCTTTTTTGTTTCTCCGACGACTGGCGTGGGCCTGCCGGGTGTCCGCCGGACGTGCCCAGGGGCGGTGGGAATTCGTCCGGGTTTTGGCAACGTCGTGGCGCGGTGGCCGTGGATGCAAGGCGATGCAGTGCATCAGTGCCCACCCCACATGCTGTTCGTCAATGTACTGGACGCCTTGGTAGCACGTTGGTTTCCTGGCGGCGCAGTTTCTGTAGAACCTAGTAGTTTGCGGTTACTGGAGTAAATTTGCGTCTCTCGGCCTCGTCAGCAGTGACTACATTGGGTGGCAATGCTGCCCAAACCCCATCCAGTGGCGTGGTGGCTCGTTGTGCTGGCGACTGCACCGGGCACAAGAGAGCGTGCAAGATTGAGAGCCCTGTGGTGCAGTGATTTCCTGGAAGCGAAGTGTCTTCAGGAACCAAGATACTAAATTGGTTGTCAGAGTGAGTCTACGTTTCTCAGCCTCTGTAGCGGCTGCTGAACTAATGGTAGTCCACACCAAGCCCAGACTATTCGAGGCGGCCTGTCGTCCTGGGAGCTGCTGCGCATGGGTCGAAAGACAGGGACTTGAAAGCACGTTATCGGTGGTCCAGTATTCTCCTGATAGTGAGGTGTCTTCAGCAGCCAGTATACAGTGGCATTACTGGTGTAAATCTGTGTCAGTGTCTTGGTAACTTAGTGATAGTCTGCCCGAACCCAATCTAAAACACCTGGACAGGACTGCAGGTTCATCGAATAGGCATCTTCCTTGGTGTATAGGCTGCTGTTGATGGCCTTTCCAGTGGTGACTAAGCGAATAGATGAGCGCCTAGTCAGACTTGCATGCATGCGTAAACTGGCTGCTGCAACTGAGAAAACTTGCAATGTGACATCTGAAGCATTTGACATGAGATCGCTTTAATCGCTCCTACCACCAAACCGCATTACTGGGCAAGCTCTGTTGAAATCCAGACAAGCAGACATTGTCCAACAGCAGGCATTAGTAACGGCAATACTTTCCCCCAATCGAACTGAGCAGGACATGGGCCCACAAGCATTTCGCAGTGACCGATGCAGACTGCCATCACATGCACTGAATTCCATTCCCTCTGTTTTCACTAAGCAGTCTAGATGCCATGACTGGCCCTACACTGAGCGCTGCATGGCCACTGTCGGTGTCTAGCGTTTTTTGCAGCATTTCTGGCAGAAAGTTGTGGAAATTTTGTACAAGTTTGTATCGAACAATCCTGTGCAAGGGTCAATCATCTATGGCAAAGATTTGTTATACCCTTGCTGCAAAGGACCCTCACTTTGCACAGCTTAAGAAGGGTATGGGTCTGTCGTGTTTAAGCTTACTCTTGGTCGAGGTCACACTTGACACGAAGGGACAAAGGATTACAGAGATATGAGAAGAAAATGCACATTGTATTGAGAAAAAGAAGCTCAATGAAACAGAAAAAAAGCACAGTGTGCCATGCAGCCATACCTTCGGAGAATATTGAGATTCGTCCACCTGAGCAACAACGATTGAAAGTGGTAGAAGTACTAAATGTGGTGGAAGGACCTGAAGTATTAAAAGCATTGGTACTATCAGACATATGAGGAGTGTTAGAAGTATAAGAACTGTGAGAATTTTTAGAATCGTAAGCTGGCATTGCAGCAAGTGGTGGAAATTAGCGACAGGATTGGTAGTCTTTCAGTGCATCAGGAGCCAGGCCCCACACCTTGCAGCTCTCGCAGTTTGTTTCAAGCTCATGCTAGTTTCTTGGATGCATGTTGCTGGTGTGCCTGGTCAGTTTTGGTTGCAGGTTACTCATGCCATCTGTGTTGGTGTGTGTTGCAAAGAACGCCATCGTCAGGCACTGCAGCTACCACCACAGCTACCGCAGATGGTGGCATCAACCTCCAAGAAGGTCACCAGAATCAAGCACAATCTGCCTTCCCCACCTTCCAGTGGAACTCTGACTCATGTGCAGGACGGAGCCCTGCCTCCAGATGGTCAGTCCATGGCACCACCTTGGAAGGATGCATCCCGGTCTCAAGACAATCCAGGTTTGGCCCCAGAATCGCAGAGCGTTGAACATTCAAGTGCTGGCACTGTGAACGAGGCACTCCAGCTGGAGTTTGCCTTTGGTGAATCAGCGAGAGCCCCTGATCATTATTCTGAAGATGGGAGCGCGGCCCAGGCACCTGAGATTCAGGCATGGGCAAAACCCTCTGATGGATATGCCAAAGCTGAGACAACTACTGCGGGGACCGGTCCGGCAGGTAGTGCAGAGTCCCCCGAATCCAGCAGCTTGGAGGTGGGTCTGTCCCCCGAAGCTGACACACAGGACGACGGCGAGTCATCTGACCCGACAGATGGCGAGTCATATGACCTGGGATACGACCAGAGTTACACAAGCGTGGGAGTCACGAAGACGGAAGGCTTTTTCCACATTCTTCCTAATTCCGTGTTTGGAGATTCGCAGAAGTATTTCTGGAAGCCCTTCCCTGAAGTGAGCCGCACGCCTGCATGCTTTGTGGAAGCGCTTGAAGCCCATCCGAGCAGAGTTCAGGACCCGGCGGACGCAAGTTTCCTTGTGGTGCCGATGTACCGCATTGCACACGTCCTAAACAATGGGAATTGGTCTGATATTGCCACTGTCTTGACTGATCTGAGGCGCAACCTGAACAGCTCTCGATCGTACATTAACTATGGTGGAGCACGCCATGTGTTTGTGTACCCACAAAGCACTTCTAAGAGCTTGATGGCTTTACTGCAAGCCACCCTGGATGTGGACCTCTATTCTTTCTGGGCTGCACCTGGGAGACGGCCAAGGAAGAACTGGAGGTGCCCTCATAGGTGAGTCTGAGCCACCGGCGCAAACTGGACTCAGCCCAGACTTGTGGCGGCACGGAAGTCGCTGACAGGCACTGCACTGTTAAAACAGATACTTGCTGTTGCTCATCACGACTGTTATGGATTCGGCGCTGCCAAATCGACAACGTTTGGGTTGACTTTGCTCCATTCAGAAAGGACACTGTGAGGGAACTTGCCCCTTTGATCAGCCGTGGGATATGTGCAGATCAAGCCACAGAAGATTCCCAACAGAGGCATATGAATACAAGCCGCTCTTAATGTGTCTGTGTTGACAGCACCCCTTGTTGCTTGGACATGATGGAATTTGGACCAGTCAAGCATTGGCACTGTGCTGTGGATGTATAGTGCCATCCACTTACCTGCTTAGGTTCTTCAGAGCTAATTTTCTGCTACAGGTTTCCTAGACAATAACAGGCCTTTTGGTATATGGTAGGATCATGGAGGCAGTTTCATGGGGATTATATTCGGCAGCAGACATCACCCAGTATCGCTTGATGAGTGCGAGCACAGTGGTGTGTCAGTTGTCAACTGCCGGGGCACTCTGAAGCATGTGTTCAGGTCCCATGGTCCCATGGTACCAGGTCCCATCAAGCCATAACCTAAACTTCGCTTGTTGTGACAATGGTACTGCCTTGGTACGGATTCAAAGTATATGGCATGGTAGGTCATTCACTGGTCGCCTCCACAGATAGGTCCGTAGGAAACCAAAACGTCCGTAAGAAATCACACTTGTTTGAGCAATGCGCATGTGGTTTGGCTCACAAATTGAATCACACGCAACCCGTCAAGTGGTGGCTTTTCCACAGACTTCAACGATGCTGGCTACCTGCATCGTGCTGCATGGGGCTGAGCTAGTCATGTATGTCCCTGTCAGCATGTTCAATATGGTGACAAAAACAATGGCAGGGAAACAGAGCAAATAGCGTCACGGAACTGTGAGCTGGGCAACTTAGCATGTTTGGGCTGTTGTGCTCGATGTGAGGGCACACTGAACTTGCGCAGCATTATTTTGTGTTGTTCACCGTCGACCATTCCCTGAGCGCTGTGTGGTTTTCATGCAGATTTGTGCCCATATCAGTATCAAAGGAGGATGCCGATTGTGAGTCCACTGGACGTGCTCTGTCTGCGCTGGCCAAGACGACAGGAGAGGACAAGACCTATCTGCAGCTGTGTGATGATGGGTCGTTTTGGTGCAAAAGGGACGTTGAAGCAATGCTGGGTGAAGTACTGTTGAGAGTGCAGGGCAGGGAGGTCTGGGAGTGCCATGGGCTGTCATTACCCACAAGCATTGCACATGACAGATTTCTGTCAAACCGCGACTTGAACAGAATGAGGGCGCACACCTTCATTGATGAACAGCACCAAACGTTGTCGTGTTTCATGCCCAAGTGTGCGAGCACAGTGCTGAAGATGATGCAGAAGCGGCAGACGGGTGTGGACAGCTGGCAGGCGACTGACGAGAAAGGCCGGGCACAAGGCTTGGTTCACTTTGCAGCGGATGCATCGACTGAGGAATACCATGCCATCGTCGACGATCCTCGTTGGGTGAAATTCGCTGTGGTGAGGGACCCTGTCATCAGGTGCCTGTCCGGCTACCTGCACAAAATAGTGCAATTGAAACAAAACTACTATGTGCACTGGAAAGGCAAGGGCAGGCCGACCTTCGAGGAGTTTGTGGATATCCTGTTTGCCTACCCTGCCATCAGGGGGAACCACCATTTCTTGGAGCAGTCAGCCATGTGCGGCCACAGGGTCGTGCACTACAACTTCATCGCGCACGTTGAGACGCTGCACGATGACTACAAGGAGCTGTTTGGACGCCTGGGGCTCTGGCAATCCATCGGCGAGTCAGGCTGGGGTGATGATGGCACCCAGTCCTTCTTGCAGGCGTTCCAGCCTTCGGCAAATCATCCCAGCCAGTTGGAGTCGAGCACAGGGGACGCTGCCGTGGCGGCGCACTACACAATGGACATGTTGGAAAAGGTGTACCTCATGTACAGGGAGGACTTTGACAGGTTTGGGTACTCGATCGACAAGTGGCGGCGCTTGGTAGCCCACAACGGAGCAAACCAATAAACGGCAATGGTCCAAATAAGCGGCGAACGCATTGCGGCCTCTTGAAGCCAGGTCAGGTGAACTTGCCAGGTCGACTAGTTACACTTTGTTTTGGGACCGCGATCTTGTAATTTTTCGTTTGTGAGGGTCATGGCATTCTTCTGGCGTGAAGTCCAGGACCGGCTGCCCACCGCTGCCAAATGCTTGCTTGCCGAGATTGTGCACAAACGACCACTGCGGCGAATGGTGGGCTCGGACATGCGCTGTTGACTGCGTGCCCCACACTCAACATGGCTGCCACCACACATGTCCGTCATGCCGTGGGAAGTGCAAAGGCTGCGTGCTATTTACTGGACTCGCTAAACTGCAACAGAAGTGTGCAAACAGTGGGCAAATGCCCTTCCACATCAGTTGGGCTTGTTTCTACCAGTGTCTGCAGGTGTTCTCTTTTCGAGTGGCATTTAGCCCTGTGGCGAGTCTCTGTCTGTTGTGAGATTTTAGTGTCACGTATGCCTGCACATATACAGGCAATGTTTGTAAACGAATTCACCAAACTCTGCAAGTGCTGTTTTCAGGATAGAGAGGAGCTCGACCACCGCAAAATCGGGGTGGTCATGAGTACGCCCAGCAGAGCTGTCGTTTGCACCCACGATAATACAGCGCATGTACTAGTGCGACAATTCATTTTGTACCATAATGGAGCTGTCGTTCGTGGAGCTCGGCTACTTGTCTGCCACAAAAAGTGGGAGGCATGTTCAGTGAACCAACCGCGACAGTACCCACCCACTCCACTCATCCTTGAAATATTCCGGCCTGACTGCCCTACAGCGGGCACGCTAGGACTCCCAAAACGCCGTCATCAATTACGCTTCAGTTTGCAGGCAGCATTAGTACCCCCCAGAGCCCAGAAATCAGCCCACTGGGCCAATCTTCCGAGATTGGCAAATCAACTGCACCTGCGGTTGTGCACCCAATCACCTCCAGCATTGTGCTGTGCACAGCAAGGCGTCCCGAAAAACGCCGATGCAACAACGCCTTCAGTTTTTGATGCTCGGACACCAGGTACCGCGCCCTTGAGCTCCTGAGGATGGCTTGCAACAAGTGGGAGTGATCTGCTCTTGTTTTCATCCGGCCTCAGACGTCTCGGCACGTCACAAACAGCCTCCTGCGGCCTGTCTGATAAATCGTGTGGAAGCAGTAATATAAAATATGCAGCATGCTAATGCCAAATCTCCGAACAAATGTCCTGCAGGGCCCTGAACCGCAGTATTGAAACAGATGTCAAATGCGGTGGGCACAGGCCCTCTTGTACGCCCTCCTTTCTTTTTCCAAATTCTCCATCCCAAATTTCTGGGGCCCCTGCCAATCCAAACCGCCCACTTGGGCCACAGGACACGTCTGAGGCAGCCGCGAACGCGCTCAAGGGCCCATTCCACTATGCGAAAAAAAGCGGTTTGTATCAATATCTTTTTACATATATGTCGGGTTTCACGATGGACCTTTTGCGGCCCGGCCTTCGTCAGCGTCTCCGAGTGGCATCTCTCGACTTGATTAGGCTATGAACAGGGTTCTGGACTGCGTGCACCGATGGACGCAGATCCAACATAACACTAGTAAGAAATCGGCCAAGGTGCATGATCTGACAAATCCTGTACCTATCTGTACAATTCTACACCGATGTAGAATTAGCCAAACTCCTAGCAAAAAATCGGCCATTTTACGAGGTATCGCGTAAAATAGCCGATTTTTTACTAGTGCAACCGGCCACACGCCATTGGCATTACCTGTGCCTAATGGGAGCAAATCCTTTGGAATGTTGCTTGCGGAGACAATTGATGCGACACTGGCATCGAATGGAGGAGGTCCCCATTCTCGCGTACATGGAGCCATCTTCAAATCTGGATCTCAACAATTTTCAGCCTATCCTTGATCATAGTATGGATGCACCATGGCATTTTTTCACCGATGTTGGCCTTGTTTCAATTCCACGCAAGATACATCAGCTGACGAGTAATCTTTTCAACGTATCTACAAAAATGATGACATTGCGGACATTTTCTCAAGCCAATTTGGGAGGATGCAGCGATGCCACAGATTCATCCAGCCACGGATACCAAAAAGCTGTCGTCCTAGTAACTAATACTTCTTCCATCCCAAAAAGAATGGAGGCTATCAAAAATGGCAAAATCAACGTTAAATTTTGTCCCAAAGTACAATATGATATTAAAAATAGAATGGCCAGGTGCAAACCTTTAGGAACCACCCTCATCTACCACGGAAAATGAATCTTGGGCAGTTTCATCAGGCCTCAAAAAGGGGGCTGCATCACCAACTTGCACTTGACAGCGACCTCCGACACGTCCTCCCCTTGTTCTGCTCTTGTTCCTTGCCAATGTGGGACAACTTCAAGTTTCTGCCGCCTTCTGCCTCAAGTATATACTTGAGGCAGAAGGCGGCAGAAACACACTAGTACGCATACGACAGAAACACACTAGTACGCATACGACAGAAACACACTAGTACGCATACGACAGAAACACACTAGTACGCATACGACAGAAACATACTAGTATGCATTCGACAACAGCGAGCAAGGAGCGCCACAGATGCTCCATGGTCAAGTGCCATTTCTGACCCACCTTGAGACTTGCACAACAATTGTTCCTACATGCCCGTGTTTGATATGTCACATCTCCCTCAGTACATAGCCGTTTGATCTAAAAATCTGGTTGGTCAAACACAAAATTAATATCTGGCTGGTCAACACAAAGATTAGTATCTGGTCAAGTTTTGAGCGTTATTGGATATGTCTTGACAAGCTCAGTATTTACGACAAAAAAAATGATCGCTTCCACGATTTTATTTGTAGAAATATTTTTCGCGTGTAGACAGGTGTGAAATACGTAAATGCAGCCACAACTACCCGCCCGTGTACATTGAGCCTGTGCTGCCTGGTCAACCAGAGACCCACGGTCCCCTGCGCTCGCCGTGGAGCGCAAGGGGATGTATTGGCCACCCGCCAGGTACTTTACGAACTCTAAGTGACGAGGGCGAGGTGGACGCTATGTTGCAGGTGCTCGCGTGGACAGGGAACTGATCATTGTACACGACTGCGTCACGCAACCGGGGTGTCCACAAGAACTATGAAAATACGTAAACACAGCGATAAAAACGTCCCCTTTTTTTTACCTTCTGTATGTGAACACGTATGCTCAGAAACATAAACGCAAAAACCAAGCATTTTGATGGGTTTTCCAAAGGCGCATGTCGTAATGGCCATTCTTTTTGGGACAGAGGAAATATCTTTGGGGACATTTTTCCCACGGTTTCATTGTGAACTAACTTTCGTGCAAAATGTCGGTAAGGGGGTCATGGAAAACAACAGAACATGCATCCTCTTCTCTTTTTGTGCACTCAGGAATGGCGAAGTTGCGCACAAATTTTCTTGTTATTTGACGGCCAATCTTGAGCACAACCGTTTTGCCCAAAAAAACACATAATAGTGATGTTGTGCACAATGCAGCCTTTCGGACCTTATTGACATTTTGCACGAAAGGTTGTTTGTGGTTGTAAAGGAAAACACTATGCCCAATTTGATGCGCTTAGCATCAATTTAGTGAAAGAGGGGGGGGTGGGGGTGGGGGGTATACCTGTGATGCTAAGAGATCATATAATTGACCCAAAGTCGACATAAGATGGTAAGACACACAAAAACGTTGGTAATTAGCGCCAAACAGTTCACTACTTGCTCCAAAACCTCCATCAAGCATTCAATCGTGAATTAGATCTCTAGGATACCTCAATAGGCAGCCACCAAGGCATCCCCAATAAGTGGCAATGGCATTTATCATCCCGTTTTCCAGCTTGATATAATTTTTGCAATTTTGGCTTTTCGTGCTCCTTAAAGACACCTTGATATTGCCTATAGCCATTACGTAATGCTGCTCAGCCATCTTGGCATCGAAATAAGGATTGACGCTAAGGAGAGGTGGGCATGGGTGGGGGATGATAAGATTTGTTATAGATCAAAGAAAACATGTCATGCAATTGGCATCCGAAGCAAATGAATGTGAGGCTCTTTTCCATGCTACAAAAGATGATATAGAGCCTCCCTAGTGGGAAGAATCACACAATATATGCACCATGAAGAGCGAAAAAGAGGGGGCTGAAAGATGAAAGAGGGGGCTGTATGACCACGCAAGAATGTTGAGAGACTCTGTTACCCCTTGTGAGACTCAACTAAGATAAAACTAATGAGCGACACGGGACTCCTATCCCCCATTTAATCGTAGCAGAAAAGAAGGCAAGGGGGGTCAATCCGAGAGCAGCTGGAAGCCACTTTGAGTCATAGGTATCTACAGGGGGCTGTGGACCTATCTAGGCTCCGTCAGGTTAAGCCCAACGAGCGACACTAGATTCCCGCCCCCTACTGGGAGCCGTGGGAAGCCACTTTGAGCCATAGAGATCACAACATGCCACTTGGAGTTGAAGGATGCCAAGATCTGCACACCACCTCTGAAGGCCCTGGAGCTTCGCCGGACATCCGGAAACTAGAGGTGGCCACCCAGATCCGTTAATAGCGGACAAAGGTTAATTTCCGTTAAATTTCCGTTAATTAACGGAAAATAACGAAAAAAGACAAAAATTAACCAAAAATTAGCGGATTTTTGGATTTTTAGGGGATTTTTGGGTTTTTTTCATACTTATAGTTTATGGAATTCGCTATTAGAGAGTATGTTTGTATTTTATTTCAACCTATGCATACTAGATTTTCAACTAGCCGCAGTTGTTGTGATTTTTTGGGCTTTTTTTTCGATGTTTTTGGATTTTTTTTCGTTTTTTCTGAATTTTTCTCCCTTTTTCTTTAACGAAATTTAACGGACAGCTGATAAAAATTAACGAACCGGATTTAATGGACCGGATGGCACCCTTGAGTGGCCACCTCTACCGGAAACTTGCTAGGCGTTGATGCAATATTGATAGGCTCTTCCATCAACACCGGTCTTCAGAGCTCATGTGTG